AGCGAGGGTGAGGTGGGGGGTGTGTGGAAAAGGGAGGTGTTGTGGGGGACATGCTGAAGATGGGGGCGGCAGATCTGGGATGGGGCAGAGGGGATCTGCGGGGGGATGTGAGAAGAACCCCAAGGTGAAGGGCTGGGATATAAAGGGACGGGTATGCAGGGGGCGGGATGGGGCATTAGGGGCCGGGTATAAAGGGGCAGGGGGCATTAGGGGAGCCCATCTGGAGAGGGTGTCTCAGGGGATCCAGCGTGGTGGTGGGGGGGACCCCCAGCAAGGAGCCCCCCCAGCTAACCCCTTCTCCCCTCCCCCAGGCCGGCTGCGGGCGATCAACCCCGAGAACGGGTTCTTTGGGGTGGCGCCGGGCACCTCCATGAAGACGAACCCCAACGCCATGCACACGGTGCAGCGTAACACCCTCTTCACCAACGTGGGAGAGACCAGCGAGGGGGGCGTCTACTGGGAGGGCATCGACCAGCTCCTGCCCCCCGGCACCTCCATCACCAACTGGCTGGGGCGGCCCTGGGCTCCGGGTAGGGCCATGGCCGCTTCCCCCTCCTCCCCCACCAGCTCCTCCCCACGGCACCCCCTAACCTCTCTCTCTGTGCCAGGTGCCAAGGAGCCGTGTGCTCATCCCAACTCCCGGTTCTGCGCCCCGGCCCGCCAGTGCCCCATCATGGACCCGGCCTGGGAGTCCCCCGAGGGTGTCCCCATTGACGCCATCATCTTCGGCGGGAGGAGACCCCAAGGTAACCCCCACCCTCCTTTCCCGCCTCCTCCCGGACTCCTGGGTCCCTCAGCAGGCTCACGCTGCTCTCCCCCTCTCCCCAGGGGTGCCACTGGTCTACGAAGCCTTCAACTGGCGGCATGGCGTCTTTGTGGGCAGTGCCATGAGGTCCGAGTCCACCGCGGCTGCCGAACACAAAGGTAAAAGCCCCCGGATGCTGGGGTCCCGTTGCTTGGGCCCCGCGTTCCTTATCCCCCCCTCCCACCTGGGAAACATGAGCTCTGGGGCTCCCCTTATGCCATCCCAGTGTCTCCCCATTACCCACAATCCACTGCGCCACTGTCCATGATGGCAGGCTACCAACAGTCCTTTGTGCTAGAGTCCTGCAGTGCCAAATCCCCCATAATCCATTGCCCCAGAATCCCACTCTTGCTGAATACCCACAATCCAATGTGGTAGATTCCCACCATTCCTGATTTACCCACAGTCCTTTGCACTGACCTCCCCCAATTTACCCACAGTTCTTTGTATTGCACTCCCACCATCCCCGGTTACCCATAGCCCCCTGGCTGACCTTCCCTTCTCTGCCCCCACTCCAGGCAAGGTGATCATGCACGACCCCTTCGCCATGCGCCCCTTCTTCGGGTACAATTTTGGGCGCTACCTGGAGCACTGGCTGGGCATGGAGGAGCAGCGCGGGGTCCGTCTGCCCAAGATCTTCCATGTCAACTGGTTCCGCAAGGACGCGGCCGGCAACTTCCTGTGGCCGGGCTTTGGAGAGAACTCCCGGGTGCTGGACTGGATCTTCCGGCGGGTGGAAGGGGAGGAGAGTGCGCAGGAGACGCCCATCGGCTACGTGCCCCGGGAAGGGGCCCTCGACCTCCAGGGCTTGGCCAAGGTGGACTTCCAAGAGCTCTTCTCTCTGCCCAAGGCCTTCTGGGAGCAGGAGGCACGGGAGGTACGCAAGTACCTGACCGAGCAGGTCAACGACGACTTGCCCCGGGAGGTGATGAGGGAACTCGAGGGGCTGGAGAGTCGGGTGAAGAAGATGTGAGGGGGAGCAGGGAGGTGGCCCGCCAAAGACACGGCCCTCGTGGAGTTTGTTTACATAGCATTTCCCCGCCTCGCCCAATGCCGCCGCCATTTCAGTGCCTTGCTGCGAGTCAGCTGTCGTCTTCCCGTGACATGGGTTGGCAGTCTTCTTCTCTTGACCATGGTTTCGCCACCTTGTTTGCTTGAGGAGTCAGCCATTTTGTTCCCTCGATGTGGGTTGGCCATCTTCAATTGACATAGGTTGGCCATTTTCTTCGTTTGACCTTGGGAGGTTGGCTATTTTCTTGCCTTGACTGCGGTTCTGCCAGCTTCTTCAACTGACATGGGACGGCCTTCTTGTTTCTTTGACACGGATTGGCCATTTTATTTCCTTGACGATGTCCAACATCTTGGTTCCTGGATGCGGGCTGCCCATTTTTCTCCTCTTAACCATGGTTCTGCCATCTTGTTTCCGTGCCCATGAGTCAGCCATCTTGTCCCCTTGAAAGATTGACCGTCCTTCCAGCCAGATTTTAATGTAGTCACTTGTGAGGTTGGAACGTCCCGGCTGGATGTCACCATCGGGTACAGTCCTTCACACAAATCGGGGCCTCGGCATCTACCGCCAACCCTGTCCTCCTAAACCCAACATCAGCACTTGAATGCAAACCTAGCAACCTCCAGGCTTTGCTCTGACAGTAAGGCTTATTTTAACCACGATCTGTGCCCCCGTTGCAACACTAAAAAGAAACCACCGTCCGTGGCCGGATTTCTCAACCACACTGACCGTTTGCCCCCCGTAACTCAGCCCAAGCCCAGTTCCTAAGCAGTATTAACCCTCAGTCGACTCAGGATATGCCAAGACCTCTCCGTCAGCCCGCATCCTCACCCCATGCTCAATGCCCCTCCCCAAGTGGGACGCTGGCCAAATTCCCAACTCTGACCCCAATCCTCCCCCTTCGACCCATCATCTCTAACCACGCCAGGACACCCCGGCCCTTTCTCTAGCCGTAGTCTCCGCACCTAACCATCATGTGAGCCCTGAGACCCACCTCAAACTGGACCCCCCCCCCCACAGCCCCCCGAATCCTCGATCCGTTCTTCCAGCCCCACCGGCCCTCCCTCCCGGTGGCCTCTTGCCATCAAGCTGAGGTGAGCTCTTCAACCCTCCTGCTTCCTTCGCAGCACGTGGGCCGGGCACACCTCTATCGGGGGACGGGACGGCTGCCAGTGCCCCCCGGCCCTGGGGCGGGAGCCAGGGCGGATGAGCTGGCTGGTAACCCGGGCACAGGCTGGGCCGAAGGGGGGGCAGGAGCAGCAGCGACGCGGGGTCCATGGGGAGTCTCTGTCCTACATGAGGGCGTTTTGTTACGAATCGCTGTTAACGAGACCCGAGTGTCCACTAATAAAAGGGTTTGAAGGTCACGGCTGGTTACTGGAGCGGGGATGGGGGGCGGGGGAGGGCTCATCTGACCTGGGCCCAGGCCAAGCACAGTTACCCATGAACAGGGGGGCAAACAGGTGGGGGCAGGGGGGGCCAGGTATAAAGGGCTGGGGGGTGGGGCGGGGCATTAAGGGGTGGGTATAAAGGGCGGGGGCTGGGGGCCTTAGGGGCCGCTATAAACGGGCAGGGGGCGGGGTATAAAGGGACAGGGGGGTACAAAGCGGCCGGCGGTGTTAGGGGCCTGAGGCGGGCGGGGGGAGTTAGGGGTAGGGTATAAAGGGGCTGGGGGCCTTAGGGGCCGGTATAAACAGACGGGGTATAAAAGGGCCGGGGGGGTTAGGGGCGGGGTATAAAGGGGCCGGGGCGGGGTATAAAGGGGCCAGGGGCGTTAGAGGGGAGGGGAGCGGGGGGCGTTAGGGGCGGGGTATAAAGGGGCTGAGGGCCTTAGGGGCCAGTATAAACGGGAGGGGTATAAAAAGGCCAGAGGGAAGGGGTATAAAGGGGCTGGGAGGGGGCATTAGGGGCGGGGGGGTATAAAGGGGCCGGGGGCGTTAGGGGGCGGTATAACGGGGGGGTTAGGAAGGCCGGGGATAAGGGGCTGGGGGTCTTAGGGGCCCGGTATAAACGGGCGGGGGTATAAAGGGGCGGGCGGGGCGTTAGGGGCCGGGTATAAGGGGCTGGGGGGGGCGTTAAGGGGCGGGATATAAAGGGGCGGGGGCGGGGGGGGCGTTAGGGGGCGGGGTATAAAGGGGCCGGGGGCGTTAGAGGGGGGCGGGGGCGTTAGGGGCCGGGTATAAAGGGGCGGGGGCAGGGGGCGTTAGCGGGCCGGGTATAAAGGGGCCGGGGGTATAAAGGGGGCGGGGGCGGGGGCGGGGTTAAAGGGGCTGGGGGCGGGGGGGTATAAAGGGGCCGGGGGCGTTAGAGGGGGCGGGGGGGCGTTAGGGGCCGGGGCGTATAAAGGGGCGGGCGGGGGGCGTTAGGGGCGGGGTATAAAGGGGCTGGGGGCGTTAGGGGGGGGCGGGGGGCGTTAGGGGCCGGGTATAAAGGGGCCGGGGGCGTTAGAGGGGGGCGGGGGGCGTTAGGGGCCGGGTATGAAGGGGCTGGGGGCGTTAGGGGCGGGCGGGGGGCGTTAGGGGCCGGGTATAAACGGGGGCGATAGAGGGGGGCGGGGGGCGTTAGGGGCGGGGTATGAAGGGGCTGGGGGCGTTAGGGGCGGGGTATAAACGGGCGGGGCGGGGGGCGTTAGGGGCGGGGTATAAATTGCCGCGGGGCGGGGCCAGGCTCCCCATTTTGTGGGTTACACATCTTCCCCCAACCAAACAGGCGCCGTCGATCGCCCTAGGGCCGTCAATCATCAAACTCCATCTATTCTGGGAGCCAGGATCCTCTCGGGCCCGCCTTCTATTCCCGTCAATCACCTATGCATTGTCCAATCAGGAACCTGCTCCGCTCTCAGGGCTCGCCTCCCAATCTCTGGTCTCAACCAAGTCCTTGCAAATCGGACAGGCAGTGTCCCTGGGGAGCCAGCCTCCCGTGTAGCCTGTCAATCACTTTTTTAAAGTCCAATCAGAAGAGTCGACGCCTTCTTTTTTCTGCTGTCCCGCCTCCCCGTTTCCAGGGCGAGTCATATGGTAACTGTCCAATCAGAGAGGCCGCGCTGTTAGTCTCCAAGCTGCCACAAGTACTGCTTCTCGCAAGCTGTCACTCTCCACCCAATCCCCGAGTTGGCCTGTGCTTCAGATCCCCGCCTCTCCTGTCACGATGGAGGAGGGCCAATCAACGTGCCGAATTTTCTACAACGCCCTCTACCCCCCTTGGTGTTGAGACGAGGAGCCAATCAGAGGGCGCCGGGCTTGCCCTTCCTCTCTCTTCTTCCGTTAGAGGCGGCTGCAGCTCCAAAGATGTAAACAAGGCCTCGCGCTGCGACCGTTGGCGGGTGAGGAAGGTCTCGCGGTTAGGGAAAAGGAGGGGGAGAGAGTTTGGAGGCTTCTGATTGGCCACGGCCGTCCCGCAGGGGAGGGGGAGGAGGAGGAGGTTGTTGGGGGAATCCGGTGGGTTCTGATTGGTGGGGGGGAAGGGAGCTGGGTTGTGGACGGGGATAGCCAGAGTGCCCCCCTAAGTATAGGACGTTCTGATTGGTGGGTCTGGGGGAATATAGGGCGCTCTGATTGGTGGGAGGCTCTCTTGCCCTTAAGACGCCCCCCGGTTGGTGCAGTGGTTTTCAGCCTTTTGTACCGGTGACCCCTTTCACACAGCACGCCTCTGAGCGCGACCCCCGCTTGTCCATGTTTAACACCAGCGGGGCTTGGGGTGGAGGCCGACCGCTCGCAACCCCCGTGTAATCACCGAGGGGGCCCGACCCCCAGTTTGAGAACCCCTGGGCTGGTGGGCTAGAGGCTGGCAAATGAGAGGGGGCAAGAATCGAGGCGGGGTTGGCTGTGCAGTCAGGCCCCTGTGATTGGTGGGTGGCACACTGAGGGGAGCAAGAGTGCCCCCTGAGTATAAGGCGCTCTGATTGGTGGATGGCTGCTAACAAGTCATTGGTGGGTCCTTGCGCTATCTTGAGCGGAGCAAGAGTGTCCCCTGAGCATAGGGTCCTCTGATTGGTGGGGAAGGGAGCAGGGCACTGAATGTACAGGTCTGATTGGTGGGCAGGGAAGCAGCCCTCATTGGTGGGTAGCTGCAGTATGTATCACAATGGCCCCCTGAGGATAAAGGGCTGTGATTGGTGGGTGGCTGTGGCAGATTGAGTGGGGACCATAGGTTCCCCTGAGGATAAAGGGCTGTGATTGGTGGGTGGCTGTGGTAAACTGAGTGGAGGCAATAGGCCTCTGATTGGTGGCTAAAGGTTTTCTTTTCAGGGAGCTTCTTGTTCCTGACTGGCTGTGCGGGGAATGGGAGAGGAGCCAACACAGCAAACCCCTGGGCCTAGTTCTAGACAATGCTATAGGCATGGGCTCTCGTAGCAGCAGCGCCAGCTCTGGGGGCCAGGACCCCCAGGACGGCAGGCCCCAGAGGGGCTCCAGGCTCCTGGGGAGGGAGGAGGAGGAGGAGAACGACGATTTGGATCTGGCCCAGGTACTGGCAAATCTACTGCGCAGGTAACTTACTTCACTGCCTACTTCTCTACGTGCAGCACAGGGAGTCTTCCCACCTGCCTAGGGTTGCTAACTGTCTAATTGCCCAAACGCAAACATCCTTGCCCCGCCCCTTCCCTGAGGCCATGCCCCCCGCCCACTCCATCCCCTGCTCTCCCCCACCCTCACTCACTTTCACCGGGCTGAGGCACAGGGTTGGGGTGCGGGAGTAGGTTTGGGTTATGGGGTCTGGGAGGGAGCTTGGGTGCAGGAGGGGCTCAGGGCTAGGGCAGGGGCTTGGGTGTGGGTTCTGGGCTGGGGGTTGGGGCAGAGGGGTTTGGCGTGTGGGAGGGGGGTCTGGACTCAGCCTGGGATGGGCAGGGGCTTGGGGTGCAGGACAGGATGCAGGGATCTGGCTCTGGGAGGGAGTTTGGGTGCGGGAGGGGGCTCAGGCCTAGGGCAAGGGTTTGGGGTGCAGGCTCCAGGAAGCACTTACTTTGGGTGGGGGCTCCCGGAAGCGATCGGAATGTCCAGCTCCTAGGCTCAGGGCCAGCTAGGTAGCTCTGCACTCTGCCCCTGCCTGCAGACACTGCTCCCGCAGTTCTGATTGGCTGGGAACCACAGCCAATGGGAGCTGTGGACCCAGCGCTCAGGGTGGGGGCAGTGCGCAGAGGCCCCTCGGCCTCCCCTGCACATAGGAGCTGGAGGTGCCAACCACTTCCAGGAGCCGCATGGAGCCAGGGCAGGCAGGAAACCTGCCTCTAGCCCCGCTGCACCACTTGATTTTTAGTGGCCTAAAAATTGGGTTCAGTAGCATCTGGGAGTTTGAGGCTGATTCCAGGAGATGCCTGGCCAATCTGGGAGGGTTGGCAACCCTACGTCTGGGGCCTTTGCCCTCTAGGGGGTGCCAGCTCCAGCCCGGCCTCAGCTGGCATAGGGAGTGAGCGCTGGGGCTTCTCCCCTCCCCTCCCAAGTGGAATCACAAGACAGGATGCAGTGTGAATGCAATGACGACTCTGCTGCTGGATCGAATCAGTCGCTCCATGACTGGCCCTGGCAGACTTCTTCCCTGCGGGATCCATGAGACGCAAGCAGAAAATCCAATTGGAACCATCAGCATGTCGGGGGCAGGTGGGAAGAGGGGAAACCTCAAATTTAACCTCTGTGGGACTGGAATTAAATAGTGGCTCATCAGGTGACCCCGAGCTCCCAGGGAGACTTTGTGCTCCGACCGCTAGGGGAATATCACACCGGAGCCGAGAGGGTTTGGTCCAGATGATCACGCGGCTCCCTTCTAGCCTAAGAATCGACAAATCCTTCACACCAGGGCACTGAATTCTGAGAACAGGAAACAAATGCAGGTTTCTAGATGGCGCACCCCAGACTTCTGGGTTCTATCCCTCCACGATGCCAGAGGCCTTCTGGTCTAGGGTTTGGGACGGGGGCTGAAGGGGAGGTCGGGCTGATGAATGAGCTCTGGTTTCTGCACCCCGCAGAGGTCAGATTCGGTTGGTGCCAGGCGGAGGCGCAGCCAGTGTCCAGGTGGTCCAGACACTGTCCGATTCAGACGATGACAACGACAACGCCTGGGAGGGGCGGTTGGGAGACAGTTACAACCCCCCAGGTACAGACCAGGATGCCTGGGCTCTGCCCCCAGCTCTGGGAGGGGAATGAGGACTAGTCGTTAGAGTGGGGCGGGGGGGCTGGGAGCCAGGACTCCTGGGTTCTGTGCCCAGCTCTGGGATGGGAGTGTGGGCTAGTGATTATAACAGGGGAGCTGAGAGCCGGGACTCCTGGGTTCTGTTCTCTGCTGCTATTTATATCTGGTACATCTCTCTGCCCCCCCACAGTGGACTCTGCGCCTGACACCCGGGACGTGGAAAGTAATGAGATCAAAACCCAGATCCAGCTGGCAAATGGGATGCTGGGCTCCAGGCGAGCCAACCGCAGCATCCCCCACCTCCTCCGCCAGGTACGTGGCCCCTCTTGCAGGGGAGCCCTAGGGCCAAAGGGGAGTGGGGTCTGGTGGGTTAGAGCACAGAGCCTGGGCGCCCGGACTCTGGGGTTCTCACACCCGCTTTGTTCCCTCTGCAGAGAGAGTGGGGCTTGTGCCACAACAGCAGCTTTTCCCCGGGCGAGTGCTCCCGTGTGATGTCCCAGTGAGTATCGGTGGAGTGGGGTGGGTGGGGGGGGGCCTTGGCAGGGGACTCCCCACTGACCCTGTGCTCCCTTCACCCCCCAGTTTCCTGCCCAACCAGCTGGCATTCACCGACTCCTACTCCCAGAAGGTCTTCTGCGGTGTCTACTCCAGGGATGGACAGCTCTTCATGTCCGCCAGTCAAGGTATGTGGGGGGGCCCTCAGGGTGGCTCACCAGCTTACCCACAATCCCCTCTGCTCTTGCCACAGGGCTCCCACTGAAGCCTGGCTGCTTGGCTTTGTGGGTAAGCGACATCCCAGAATATTCTCTCCTGCCTTTCAGAAGAGAGTAGTACCAGCTTGCAGTGCCACCCACCCGCTTGGCATTGTGGGTCAGGGTCATGCCCTTGTGCATTGTGGGTAACCATTCTACCAGAATTCTCTCCGGTCCCATCTGAGGGTCCTTCAGGGGAGCAATCTGGGAGGGCCCTTACCCACAATGCAAAGCAGCTGAGCTGTGCAGGGAGCTCTTGGGCGAGAGCAGAGAGGATTCTGGGAGGGCGCTGGGTGGTAGATGCTCAGTGCCGCCCCTTCCCTGTTTTGCAATGTGGGTACGGGCCATCCTAGCATCCTCCCTCCTAACCCTTCCCCTCTCTCCCTGCCCCCCTCCCAGACCAGATGATCCGCCTGTATGACTGCCGCCACAGATGCTTCCGGAAGTTCAAGAGCATCCAGGCACGGGATGTGGGCTGGAGCATCCTGGACGTCACCTTCACCCCCGACGGAAGCCACTTCCTCTACTCCAGCTGGTCCGACTACAGTGAGTAGGGACTGGGGGCAGAGCCTGCCTTAGCCCCCCTGCCCCCAGGCAGGAAGCACTGACCAATGTGTGTCTCCCTACCTCCCTCCACCAGTTCACATCTGTAACATCTATGGCGATGGAGATGTCCACACAGCACTGGATCTGAGGTAATGGGGGTGGGGACTGCCATGATAAGTGAGATTGGAGGGGTCAGCTATCATGATATGGAGGGATTAAAGGGGGTATTGGTCATTGGTCTGGGTGGGGTCGATTGCCCGGCAGGCAACATATGCCCCACTTTGCAGAGGGAGGAGACTCTTCTCCCCAGCCCTGACCCTGGATCCCTGCCAGTCTGCCCCAGGGGGAGAGCCCTCCCTGACCCCCAGATCAGAGGATCAGTTAGACCCAGAGCATGGGAGAAAGAGCCACCAGCCAGGCATTGAGGGAAAAGATTCCCTGAGCCCACTCCCTCTAGTGTTCCACCTTCTGCTGTGGCGGATCCCTGATGTCTCAGAGGAAGATGGAGGGGAGAGAATACCCAACATGCATCTGGCCAGACTTCCATCTCGGTTCCTTCCTGATCCCTCCAGGCTGCAAGCCCTGAAGCATGAGATTGGAGGTTGGGTGTCTGCTTCAAATGAACGCATGGGGCAGGGGGACAATGCAGGCCCATCCTGTTTTCCCCAGAGACATGAAGGAAGGGGAAGAGCAGGGGGACCCATAGATTCATGGACTCTGAGGACCACGCCCTCCCCCGTTGCAGGATTTCAGTGTCTGTCTCTCCTCGTCGCAGGCCGAACGAGCGCCGGTTCGCCGTCTTCTCCCTCACGGTCTCCTCCGATGGGCGGGAGGTGATTGGCGGGTAAGTCACAAGGGGGGCCCCACCCCCCCAGAGCCAAGAGCAGCCGCAGGTGGGCTCCTGCATTTCCAATCTGGTCATGTGGTGAGAGCAGAGGATTCTGGGATGGCCCTTACCCATAATGCACATCGGGGATGGCCACTGCCTACAACGGACTTCTGGGCGTCCCTCCCACCTCTTTCTAAAAGGCCCTTGGGCAAGAGCAGAGAGGATTCTGGGACAGCACTTGACCACCCAGCCATGCGCTGTGGCTCTTACCCACAATGCATAGCAAGGTGAGCCCCACTGAGCCAGGTTAGACCAGCTGGGCACCCCTCAGGCCCAAACCTCTCCACCAGAGGGGCAGGATCACTCTCTCTGCCCTTCAGACCCTGCCCTATCTCCAGCCTCACTGCCTGATGCCTCAGTTTCCCCTCCCCAGGGCTAACGACGGGTGCATCTACATATTCGACCGGGAGCAGAATAAACGGACACTCAAGGTACCTCCCCTGCTGGGGGGCAGGCGGACACACTGGGGCAGGGAGGGTTCTGGGAGGATGCTTACCCACAATGCTGTGCGGGTTGGTTCACTGGGAGCCCCTTGGTGACAGCAGAGCGAATTCTGGGCACAGGCGTTTGCGTGACACTCCCAGCCCCAGAATGCTTTTAAAAACCGGAGTTTTATTGAACTCGGTATCCAGAACTGAACAGCCCCAGCTTGCCAAGCACCTGCTGCTGAGCCCCCCGAATTCTGCTCCTGCGCCCCGACCTGTCCCCTTTGACCTCTTCAGTCAACTTCCAATCCTTAAGGCACGTGGCGCAGGGAAACATTGCCGGGTCGCTGCCTTGCGAGTGCTACGTTCTCCCCTCGGAAACAGAAATAACGTGCTACTGTGGTCCAGCACTCTCTGCAATGCATTAGCAGCCGCTGGGAGGCCCGCTAGCTCGTAAGCGCCATCTCAGCTGTGCCAGGCCTTTGTGCGAGACTACAAAGCCGAGATACCATGGGCAGAAGGGACCAGCGTGCACATCTCCTCTGACCTAGATACCGCAGCTCATAGACCTCCCCCAATAATTCCTAGAGCAGCTCTCTTCATTTTTAAAATCACCAGTGATGGAGACTTCACCATGACCCTTGGTACGTTGGTCCAATGGTTAATTACTCTCACGGTTAAACATTTATGCCTCATGTCTAGTCCGGGAGGAAGCACAGGCAGGAATGTTTGTGAGGGGAGGGCTCCTGCCTCATATTGAGAATGAGGGGCGATCAGCAGGTTATCTCAAGTGCTTATATACGAATGCACAAAGCCTTGGAAACAAGCAGGGAGAACTGGAGGTCCTGGTGATGTCAAGGAATTATGACGTGATTGGAATAACAGAGACTTGGCAGGATAACTCACATGACTGGAGTACTGTCATGGATGGTTATAAGCTGTTCAGGAAGGACAGGCAGGGCAGAAAAGGTGGGGGAGTAGCACTGTATGTACGGGAGCAGTATGACTGCTCAGAGCTCCGGTACGAAACTGCGGAAAAACCTGAGTGTCTCTGGATTAAGTTTAGAAGTGTGAGCAACAAGAGTGATGTAGTGGTGGGAGTCTGCTATAGACCACCGGACCAGGGGGATGAGGTAGATGAGGCTTTCTTCCGGCAGCTCGCAGAAGCTACTAGATCGCACGCCCTGGTTCTCATGGGTGACTTGAATTTTCCTGATATCTGCTGGGAGAGCAATACAGCGGTGCACAGACAATCCAGGAAGTTTTTGGAAAGCGTAGGGGACAATTTCCTGGTGCAAGTGCTAGAGGAGCCAACTGGGGGGGAGCTTTTCTTGACCTGCTGCTCACAAACTGGGAAGAATTAGTGGGGGAAACAAAAGTGGATGGGAATCTGGGAGGCAGTGACCATGAGTTGGTTGAGTTCAGGATCCTGACACAGGGAAGAAAGGTAAGCAGCAGGATACGGACCCTGGACTTCAGGAAAGCAGACTTCGACTCCCTCAGGGAACGGATGGGTAGGATCCCCTGGGGGACTAACGTGAAGGGGAAAGGAGTCCAGGAGAGCTGGCTGTATTTCAAGGAATCCCTGTTGAGGTTACAGGGACAAACCATCCCGATGTGTCGAAAGAATAGTAAATATGGCAGGCGACCAGCTTGGCTTAACGGTGAAATCCTAGTGGATCTTAAACATAAAAAAGAAGCTTACAAGAAGTGGAAGGTTGGACATATGACCAGGGAAGAGTATAAAAATATTGCTCGGGCATGTAGGAATGAAATCAGGAGGGCCAAATCGCACCTGGAGCTGCAGCTAGCGAGAGATGTTAAGAGTAACAAGAAGGGTTTCTTCAGGTATGTTGGCAACAAGAAGAAAGCCAAGGAAAGTGTGGGCCCCTTAATGAATGAGGGAGGCAACCTAGTGACAGAGGATGTGGAAAAAGCTAATGTACTCAATGCTTTTTTGGCCTCTGTCTTCACGAACAAGGTCAGCTCCCAGACTGCTGCCCTGGGCATCACAACATGGGGAATAGATGGCCAGCCCTCTGTGGAGAAAGAGGTGGTTAGGGACTATTTAGAAAAGCTGGACGTGCACAAGTCCATGGGGCCGGACGAGTTGCATCCGAGAGTGCTAAAGGAATTGGCGGCTGTGATTACAGAGCCATTGGCCATTATCTTTGAAAACTCGTGGCAAACGGGGGAAGTCCCGGATGACTGGAAAAAGGCTAATGTAGTGCCAATCTTTAAAAAAGGGAAGAAGGAGGATCCTGGGAACTACAGGCCAGTCAGCCTCACCTCAGTCCCCGGAAAAATCATGGAGCAGGTCCTCAAAGAATCAATCCTGAAGCACTTACATGAGAGGAAAGTGATCAGGAACAGTCAGCATGGATTCACCAAGGGAAGGTCATGCCTGACTAATCTAATCTCCTTCTATGATGAGATTACTGGTTCTGTGGATGAGGGGAAAGCAGTGGATGTATTGTTTCTTGACTTTAGCAAAGCTTTTGACACGGTCTCCCACAGTAGTCTTGTCAGCAAGTTAAAGAAGTATGGGCTGGATGAATGCACTATAAGGTGGGTAGAAAGTTGGCTAGATTGTCGGGCTCAACGGGTAGTAATCAATGGCTCCATGTCTAGTTGGCAGCCGGTGTCAAGTGGAGTGCCCCAGGGGTCGGTCCTGGGGCCGGTTTTGTTCAATAGCTTCATAAATGATCTGAAGGATGGTGTGGATTGCACTCTCAGCAAATTTGCGGATGATACTAAACTGGGAGGAGTGGTAGATATGCTGGAGGGGAGGGATAGGATACAGAAGGACCTAGACAAATTGGAGGATTGGGCCAAAAGAAATCTGATGAGGTTCAATAAGGATAAGTGCAGAGTCCTGCACTTTGCACGGAAGAACCCAATGCACAGCTACAGACTAGGGACCGAATGGCTAGGCAGCAGTTCTGCGGAAAAGGACCTAGGGGTGACAGTGGACGAGAAGCTGGATATGAGTCAGCAGTGTGCCCTTGTTGCCAAGAAGGCCAATGGCATTTTGGGATGTATAAGTAGGGGCATAGCGAGCAGATCGAGGGACGTGATCGTCCCCCTCTATTCGACATTGGTGAGGCCTCATCTGGAGTACTGTGTCCAGTTTTGGGCCCCACGCTACAAGAAGGATGTGGATAAATTGGAGAGAGTCCAGCAAAGGACAACAAAAATGATTAGGGGTCTGGAACACATGACTTACGAGGAGAGGCTGAGGGAACTGGGATTGTTTAGTCTGCAGAAGAGAAGAATGAGGGGGGATTTGATAGCTGCTTTCAACTACCTGAGAGGTGGTTCCAGAGAGGATGGTTCTAGACTATTCTCAGTGGTAGAAGAGGACAGGACAAGGAGTAATGGTCTCAAGTTGCAGTGGGGGAGGTTTAGGTTGGATATTAGGAAAAACTTTTTCACTAGGAGGGTGATGAAACACTGGAATGCGTTACCTAGGGAGGTGGTAGAATCTCCTTCCTTAGAAGTTTTTAAGGTCAGGCTTGACAAAGCCCTGGCTGGGATGATTTAATTGGGGATTGGTCCTGCTTTGAGCAGGGGGTTGGACTAGATGACCTCCTGAGGTCCCTTCCAACCCTGATATTCTGTGATTGTATGATTCTATGAATTTGTCTAGCTTCAACATCCAGCCACTGGGTCCCATCACAGCTTCGTCAGCTAGACTGCAGAGCCCATTATCAAATATTTATTCCCCATGTAGGAACTTACATAGGCTGATCGAGTCAGCCCTTAACCTGCTCTGTGTCAGACTCCAGGAGCTTAAGTGGTTTGACTTCTCATTCGAAGGCAGGTTTTCCAAACCTTGAATCCTTCTCATAGCTCTTCCCTGAACCCTGTCCAACTGCGCTTGAACTGCGGACATCACAGCTGGGCATAGCATTCCAGTGCCAAACTCCTAGGTAAAATAACCCCTGGATGAAGCAGTGCAAATAATGGATTTTGTGCTTCCCTGGCGATTCCAAAATAATGTTTTGCTTCGGATCGGCCTAAAAACCAAACCTTTTGACAGATCAACCTCAGAAAATAATTCGTTGCGGGTGGAGTGAAACATTTTGACACAACCACGAGGGGTGGTTTTACTGCTGACCATTTAAAAGCATTTGTTTTTTAATCAAATGAAAGAAGATTTTGAACAGAAAGTTGGGAAATGGGGAGACACCATGTTTCGATTTTGGGGGAGGGGTTCCCTCGCCTGCTTTCTCTCCCCCCACCCCCCAAACAATTTAAAACCAGCTCAAATTGGCAAAAAGTTTCAGCGTCACAAGATTCTGCTTTTTTGTTAAAGCTTCAAAGAAACTTTTTTCTGGGCTATGTGGCATGTGACAGGTACAAGGCCGTCCCGGTGATGCGTCCCCCAGTCTGATAGTTGGGTTTAGACGTTACGTAGGTGTTCAGATGTCGTCACCGCTGGACGTCTTTTCTCTCTAGCTCTGAGCGTCCGCTGGTGATTTCGCCTCCTGTCTGCTACAGCTTTCAGACTCCACGGTCTCGTTGTGGCAGTCGCGCCTTCCAGCAGCCGGTGCGAAGGTGACGGAGTTCGGATTGGCAGCTCCCAAACCATCCTGCTCCTTCCCCAGCCATGGATGGAAGGGTTCAGAGTTCAGCGTCTGTGGACGTCATGTAACGCAGTTGATCTTCAGTCTGCAAATCACTGGGGTCTGAATTTCTCTCCTCAATCTGAGCTCAGATTGGGCTAGTTTGCCTTGTTCCCTGCATCTTCTGTGGTGGCGCTGAAGTTACAAAGCAGTAAAAACTCTTTGCCACCCGCTTTTATTCTGTCGTCTGGACAATCCTTTCAAGAGCTGGACATCTAGCTTGAAAACCTGGACCCCCTGAAAGATTCCTGCCAAATACTCTGTCCCCTGTTCAGGAGCCGCGCAAGGCGCTGGCTGATCCTAGCAATTTGTTCCACCTCTTTATGGCCTCTTTGGAGTAATCAGTAAACCCAACCCCAGCTGAGATACAGAAGAGGGGGGTTTGCCATGTCGTGGTAGACCAACCAGGCTTGTGTGTTTCACCTCAGACTCGGGAATCTGCTCTCCATAATTCCCGCTAAAGTTCAGCCGGATCTTTTTGTTTCCTGACAAGCTCCACCTCCCGTTGGAGGCTAAGGCCGGAGTAAACCACCTGAGACCCAGCTTCCGGGATTTTGGGCTTGGCAGAAATCCCACTTCCAAGCCCCACCCCAGCTGCCCTTTCCTCGGGAGTGGCTGGTTGTGCTATTTGATTTAAACGCGCCATTGAGGGTGGGGGTGACGCCATTCCCATGGGTGTTTGGCTCTTCGTTCCCTTCGCTCTCCCCTGAGCCTCTGTGAAATCTTTCAGCCCGCTGCCCTTTGTTTGATCTTCCTTTTTAACTCCAGCAATGGAGGCATCCCTGAGCTCCCGTCTCCTCCCTGTTTCCGCATAGTTCTGTAATGTGGGGTGACCCCAGAAATGCTCGCCCCCAGGCCAGGAGCAGCACCCCCAGCCCTGCTGACCTGTCCCCTTTTGCCGCTTTAGCTGAGCGCCAGCCCTTAAGAGGGAAGCAGAGCAGGGAAATGGCCTTCGAAGAGCTAATACCACAGGGCCAAGCGACTAGGTCCTTTGAGCAAGAGCGCAGAGGATTCTGGGAGAGGGTTTACCTACAATGCAAAGCAGCTGGGCTGCCCTTGGAGCCCTTGGGAGGACAGAGGATTATGGAAGGGGGCTTACCCACAATCATAGAATCATCGAACTGGAAGGGACCTTGAGAGGTCATCTAGTTCAGTCCCCTGTACTCAAGGCAGGATTAAGAATTATCTAGAGCAGGGATCTCAAACTCAAATCACCACGAGGGCCACATGAGGACAAGTACATTGGCCCAAGGGCCGCATCACTGACACCCCTCCTGCCGCTGCCCCCAGCCCCACCCCCACTCCACCCCTTCCCCAAAGTCCCCATCCCAACTGTGCGCCCTCCCTGTCCCTATTCTAACCCCTTCCCCCAAATCCGCACCTCTTCTCCACCTCCTCCCCGAGCACGCTTGTCCCCACTCCTCTCCCCCTTCCCCCCCGGAAAGCGCTAAGCGCCACCAAACAGCTGTTTGGTGGTGGGAAGTGCCTGGAGGTAGGCAGAGGAGTCGGCGGTGGGGGAGGGGAGGTTGGCGGCCGCAGCAAATCGGGCTGCATGTTTGAAACCCCTGATCGAGACCATCCCTGACAGGTGTTTGTCTAACCTGCTCTTCAAAATCTCCTGTGACGGAGATTCCACAACCTCCCTGGGCAATTTATTCCAGTGCCCAAACACCCTGACAGGAAGATTTTCCTCATGTCCAACCTAAACTGCCCTTGCTGCAATTTAAGCCCATTGCTTCTTGTCCTGGCCTCCGAGGCTAAGAAGAACAATTCTTCTCCCTCTTCCTTGTAACAACCTTTTATGTACTTGAGAACTGTTAACCTGTCCCCCCTCGGTCTTTTCTTCTCCAGACGAAACAATCGCAGTTCTTTCAGTCTTCCCTCACCGGCCATGTTTTCTAGACCTTTCATCATTTCTGTTGCTCTTCTCTGGACTCTCTCCAATTTGTCCACATCCTCCCTGAAATGTGGCACCCAGAACTGGACACAATACTCCAGTTGAGGCCTAATCAGCGTGGAGTAGAGCAGAAGAATTACTTCTCATGTCTTGTTTCCAGCACTCCTGCTAATACAGCCCATAATGATGTTCCCTTTTTTTGCAACAGCGTTACACTGGTGACTCATATTTAGCTTATGATCCACTGTGACCCCCAGATCCCTTTCCACAGTACTTCCTAGGCAGTCATTTCCCGTGTGTGTGCACATGCGCAACTGATTGTTCCTTCCTAAGGGGAGGACTTTGCATTTGTCCATATTGAATGTCATCCTATTTACTTCAGACCATTTCTCCAGTTTGTCCAGATCATTTTGAATTTTAATCCTATTCTCCAAAGCACTTGCAACCCCTCCCAGTTGGGTATCGTCTTCAAACTTTATCAGTGTGCTCTCTAGGCCATTATCTATATCATTGATGAAGATATTGAACAGAACCGGACCCAGAACCGATCCCGGCGGGACCCCACTCGTTATGCCCTTCCAGCATGACTGTGAATCAGTGATAGTTACTCTCTGGGAATTATTTTCCAACCACTTATGCACTCACCTTACAGTAGTTCCATCTTAATTGTATTTCCCTAGTTTGTTTTATGCAAAGCAGCTGGGCCCCACTGGGTCCCTGGAGTGAGAGCAGGAGAGGTAGGCAGCTTACCCACAATACAAAGTAGCTGGACTGCCCTGGATGGGACAGAGGATTATGGGAGGGCACTTACCCACAGTGCAAAGCGACTGGGCTGCCCTGGGAGGGCAGGGAGCATTTGTGGAGGGCGCTTACCCACAATGTCTTATAACCCCTCACCCCCCCAGATCGAGTCCCATGAGGACGACGTGAACGCCGTGGCTTTCGCCGACGGCAGCTCCCACATCCTCTTCTCGGGGGGGCGACGATGCCATCTGCAAGGCGTGGGACCGGCGCACCATGCGGGAGGACGACCCCAAGCCGGTGGGGATGCTGGCTGGCCACCAGGACGGGATCACCTTCATCGACAGCAAGGTGAGGGCCCCTTAAGGGCAGAGTTCTGCCCTGTGGGATGGGGTGCTGGGTGCAGGATGCTGACCCATCTCTGCCTCCCCCTGCCCCAGGGAGATGCCCGCTATTTGATTTCCAACTCCAAGGACCAGACCATCAAGCTGTGGGACATCCGGAGGTTCTCGGGGCCTGAGGGGCTGGAGGCATCACGCCAGGCTGTCACCCAGCAGAACTGGGATTACCGCTGGCAGCAGGTGCCCAAGAAAGGTCAGGCCTAGGGCGTGTAGGCGGGAGAAGTGAGGTGGGGGGTGGGAAGGGAGGGGGCAGGGGCCCTGGGATGGGAAGCAGGACACGAGGTGGGGTGGCGGTGGGAAGTGGGACAGGATTGTGGGCATAGGGGATGGGGGAAGGGAAGTGGAATGAGGTGGCGGAGGAGAAAAGGAGGGGATGGGGACAGGAAGTGGGGGCACCGTGTGGTGTTCTGGGGCAAGGGTGGGACAGGCAAGGCAAGGGCACTGTTCAGCTCGGGTGGGGCAGAAAGTGGTTTGCAAGAAGGAGGAAGTGGAGTGCAATGGTGGGGAAGGGGAGGCAGAGAGTAGAAGTCAAGGGGGATGCAGGAAGTGGCATAAAAGGTGACCTTGAGCCTGTCCCCTTGGAGTGGGGGAGCAAAGCAGGAAGTCCCACCCTGGGGAGGGATCTGGTGTGAGTGCGGGCGGGCTCTAACCCTGTCAATCTCCAGTCTGGCGCAAAACCAAGCTGCCGGGCGACAGCTCCCTGATGACGTACCGGGGCCATGGGGTGCTGCACACGCTGATCCGCTGCCGCTTCTCGCCCCCGCACCGCACCGGCCAGCAGTACATCTACAGCGGCTGCTCCACCGGCAAGGTGGTGGGTGAGTAAGGCGGGGTCAACACCTGCCCCCGGGGCAAGGACAGAGAGTGGGGGAGCAAAACAGGAAGTCCCACCCACCAGACAAGGGCCAAAACAGGAAGTCCTGCTTGCAGGAGGGTGGGGATGGGGCTATGACGTGGGGCAGGGCCACTGCCTGGACAGAGGTTGGGGGTGGGCCCCCCAGTGTACATACACATGGTGGCGCCACTGTGTGGGAGGGGCTAGTGTGGGTAGGGGGTGGGGCAAAGCCTATGGGACCCTCCTGCCTGGCCCCTGAGCACCTGGGCCTGGAGGCCAGCCCCTCCCCTGCTGTTCCCCCTCCCCTGCAGCTGCAATGCTCGGGGTGGGGGTGGGGGCTGCAGATTTCCCAGCCTGACCCAGTGCTCCAGACAGCATGGTAAGAGGGCAGGGGGCAGGGGTGTGGGTAGGGGCGGGGCGGTCAGAGGGTGGGGAACGGGGGCTTGAATGGGGGCAGGGGTCCCCGGGAGGCAGTCAGGAAGGAGAGGAGGGGTTCGATGGGGCAGTTGGGGGTCTGGGGCTGGTCAGGGGACAGGGAGGGGTGGATGGGCAGAGGTCCCGGGGGGGGTCAGATGGGACAGGAGTCCTGGGGAGCCATCAGGAAGGAGAGGAGGGGTTGGATGGGGCGGCGGAGGGTTGGGGGACAGGGAGGGGTAGAGGGGGCAGGAGTCCAGGGAAGTAGGGGGGGTCGGCGGGGGGGGCAGGCCCCGCCTGACTGTTTGGGGAGACGCACCCTCCCCTCCCTGGCCCTCCAGAGTTTCACCCCCCTGCTGTAGGGGGAGGGGTCCAGAGGAAGATCCGGTACCTTCCTTGTGAAATAGGGGGTGGGGTGGAGGCAGCTGACCTAGGGAAAGGTCAGGAGGGCTCATAGTGGGGGGGCAGGTGGCCCGACCTATTGGAGTGGGCTGGGGGGAGGGAAACCCCCTTCTTCGGGGAGTAACCCCCTCGCTGCTCTGCCCCCAGTGTATGACCTCCTCAGTGGGCAGATCGTCAAGAAACTGACCAATCACAAGGCCTGCGTGCGTGATGTCAGCTGGCACCCCTATGAGGAGAAGATTGTCAGCAGCTCGGTGAGTGGGGGTCCCAGCGGGGGGTGCTCTGCAGGGGGGGGTGTCCCAGCAGGGAGAGTGGGTCTCAGCAGGGGATGCCCTGCCCTGGCAGGGTCATTGGGGTGCGCTGCCCAAATGGGGGACCCTGGCAGGGAGGAGGGGGATCCAGTGGGGGGCGCTCTGCCTGAGGGAGGGACCCTGGCAGGGAGGGTGGGTCTCAGTGCGGGGCGCTCTGCCCGAGGGGGGACCCTGGCAGGGCGGGGGGGGATCCAGTGCGGGGTGCTCTGCCCGAGGGGGGACCCTGGCAGGGCGGGGGGGGATCCAGTGCGGGGCGCTCTGCCCGAGGGGGGAGCCCGGCAGGGCGGGGGGGGATCCAGTGCGGGGCGCTCTGCCTGAGGGCGCTTTCACCCCTTTCTCCCCCCCGGCAGTGGGACGGCTGTCTACGCCTATGGGAATACCGCCAGGCTGAATACTATGAAGATGATCTCAGGGACCCCAAAAACCTCCCTCCAGCTGGGGAGCCTCCCGCAAGCTCCCTTGGCTTCTTGGATAACTAGCCCTCAGTGCTTGGACTTGTGGAGACTGCATTTGGGTTGCTCTGGGCCCTGCTTTGTGTCATGAACACCCCAAAAATCCTCTGCTCTGGCAGGGGGAGGCTTTCTCTGGCTCAGTACCCCAGGGGCCAGTTGGGGGGAGGAACTCAAACGGAAGAGTCAGTGTTTCCCCCACAGTCACTGGGGTTCAGGGACTTGGGACTCCCCCAGGGGACGTTTGCTGTGTATTATGGACTGATGTGTAATTTACCAGGTGGGGAATGGGGCACGGGGCCTGTCCCCTCTAGGGGGCGCCGGCTCCCATCGGGCCCCAAGGCAGGGACTGGCTGGCTGGGGGGGGGGGTAGAGAATGGGGTACAGGCCGGATGGGGCCTGCACCCTCTAGAGGGGCTTTGGGGGACCTCCAGCAGGAATCTCTCTACCCCCCCCTAAATTTGGGGGGGTGGCGGCCTCCAGCCAAGCTCCATCTTCTTGATGTGCTCTCCTAGCCCCCCAGGTCCCCCTCGGCCCGCTCAGAGAGGGGGTGTGGGCCGGATGTGGGGTCCCCTGTTTGGCCTCCCCTGGGGTGATCTTGGGGGGCCTTTCCCCACCCTGCCGGGACGGGGGGGTGAGCGGGGGGGCGGGCGCAGGGGGGGGCGGCCCGGGGGGGGCTGTGGGTTCTGTCTGTGCCACCTGCTGTCTGTCAATAAACCTCTCGACATTCCTCCCGTTGGCCGTGTCCGCGGGGGCGGGGCCCGGGCTCAGCTGCCGCCGCACGTCACTGGCGGCCGAGGCCATGGCCGGGAGCGGGGGCCGCCTGCCCCTCGCCCTGCTGGCCCCTGTGGCCGCCGGGGCCCGGGCCCTGGCCCGGGGGCTGGTGTTCCTGTGCAGCGAGCGCTGTGCCTGGCTCCTGGGCGCCCCCTGCCTGCGGCGGGCCTATCACGCCTGGCTGGCGGGCGCCGTGCTGCTGGGGCCCCTGCTGCACCCCTTCGCCAACCCCCACGCCATCCTCGCCAACCAGCGCAACTTCTTCAGCCGGTGAGCGTGGGCGGGGCGGGCAGGGGAGGCCCGGGGGGGGGGGGCCTGAGGGGGGGGGCCTGGGAGGCCCGGGACCCCCCCTAACGTGCCCCTTCTCCCCGCAGCACCTTCGTGGCCTCGGCCTGGGGCTGGACTTGCATCCTGGCGGGCGGCTTTGCCCTGCTGGTGAGCTACGGGGCGACGGGCCGGGCGCTGGCCCCCCTGCGCCCGCTGGCCCGGCTGGCCGTGGGCACAGGGCTGCAGCTGGCCGCTGCCGCCGCCTTCGGGCTCGTGGAGGAGCTGACGGGCTACTGCTACGCCCCGCTGCCGGCCGGCACCCTGCTGCCCCCCGTGCCCGACCGCCCGGGCTGCCTGGCCGCCGGGCACCGCTGGCGTGGCTACCTGCCCTCCCGGCCCACCTTCCTGCTCACCTTCTGCAGCCTGCTGCTGGCCGAGGAGCTGGCAGTCTTCCGGCGCTACCTGGCCCGCGGCCACCCGGCCGGCACCCCCCCTGCGCCTCGTCTTCCTGCTCAACGTGCTGCTGCTCGCCCTGTGGAACCTCCTGCTGCTGGGCACGGCCGTGTACGGCCCGGCCTATGGGCCCCAGCTGGTGGGGGCCGCCGTGGCCACCCTGGCCTGGTACCTCACCTACCAGGGCTGGTACCGGGCCCGCTGGTCGCCAGGCCGCCCGGGGGCCGGCCTCTTCCTGAAGGGCGAGCTGCGCGCCTGAGGGCCCCAGGCGGCCGGGAGAAGCCCGGGCCCCTCCCTCGGAGCCTTGAAAGGGACCGCGGTCAGGGCGTAGATTGGGGGGTGGGGGGAGTGATGGGGGGGTGGCCTGCTGAGGGAACCCAGGCATCCTGGGCAAGTGGAGGCAGACCTAGGAGGCCAGGTGCAGGAACCCAGGTGGCTGGGGAGGGCACCCCTGCCCGTCATCCTCGAAAGGGGCTGATGCTCTCTCCTGAGGGAAATGTGGGGGGGGTAACTTGTGGGGGGGAACCTAGGTCTCCGGGAGTTGGGGGTTGTGATGGGGGGGAACCCAAGTGTCTGGGGAGGAATGGAGGCCCCCCTTCCTTTGGGGGGGCAGGAAGAGTGGCAGGGGGCTTAATTCAGGGATGGGGCTCCAGCGATCTGGGGGGATCCCAGCATGGAGTGAATAACAGTAGCAGGACCCAGGCATCCGGGGCCCAAATAAAACATGGCCGCCTGCCCTCACGGGGGAGAAGACTGTTGCTGTGGTTTATTGGGATTCCTGGGGCAGGGGGACCCAGGCATCCGGGGAGGGGGAGGGGGGATGCTTGCAGCGTGGGAGTGATGGGGGAAGGGACCCTGGCATCCGGGGGATTAGCCTGGGGGGGCACTGCTGGGGGAAAGCTCGCAGCCCTGGAGTCCAGTAGAGGGCACTGCTGGGGGAAGCTCACAGCTCAGCAACCCCACTCCCACAGTTGGTGGCACTGCGGGCGAGGGGAGGGGGGAAGCTCCCAGCCTGGAGCCATACACTCCGCCCCCTGCGGGCACTGCTGGAGGAAGCTCACAGCCTGGCCATACCTCCCCCACTGGGGACACGGCTAGGGGAGGTCGCAGCTTAGACATCCCTCCCCCGCTGGGGCCACTGCCTTGGGAAGTTTGCAACCTGGACCACCCCCGCTGGGGGCACTGCTGGGGCAAGTTTGCATCCCTGGAGTCCTCCCTCCCCACAGCAGAGGGCACTGCTGTGGGAAGCTCACAGCTCAGCAACCCCACTCCCACAGCTGGGGGTGCTGCGGGCGGGGGGGGGAAGCTTCCAGCCTGGAGCCATACGCCCCACTCCCTGCGGGCACTGCTGGGGGAAGCTTACAGCACAGACCCACACACCTCACCCTCTGGGGGTACTGCTAAAAGAAGCTTGCAGCCTGGCCATACCTCCCCCCTGGAGGCACTGTTGGGGGAAGCTTGCAGCCTGGCCATCCTTTCCCCCACTGGGGTCACAGCTTGGGGAAGATTGCAGCCTGGACATCCCTCCCTCCTTGGGAACACTGCCGGGGGAAGTTTGCAACCTGGACCACCCTCGCTGGGGGCACTGCTGGGGGAAGCTTGCAGCCCGGCCATCCCTCCCCCACAGGGGGCACTGCTGGGGGAAGGTCGCAGCCTGGACATCTCTCCCCTACTGTGGACACTGCTGGGGGAAGTTTGCAACCCGGACCACCCCCGCTGGGGGCAGTGCTGGGGTAAGGTCCCAGCCTGGAGCCGTACACCCCGCCCCCTGCGGGCACTGCTGGGGGAAGCTCACAGGCCGGCCATCCCTCCCCCACTGGGGACACTGCTGGGGGAAGCTCGCAGCCCGGCCATCCCTCCCCCACTGGGGACACTGCTGGGGGAAGCTTGCAGCCCGGCCATCCCTCCCCCACTGGGGACACTGCTGGGGGAAGCTCGCAGCCTGGCCATCCCTCCCCCGCCGGGGGCACTGCTGGGAGAAGCTGGCAGCCCGGCCATCCCTCCCCCGCTGGGGGCACTGCTGGGGGAAGCTCGCAGCCTGGCCATCCCTCCCCCACTGGGACACTGCTGGGGGAAGCTCGCAGCCCGGCCATCCCTCCCCCGCTGGGGGCACTGCTGGGGGAAGCTCGCAGCCTGGCCATCCCTCCCCCACTGGGACACTGCTGGGGGAAGCTCGCAGCCCGGCCATCCCTTCCTCGCTGGGGGCACTGCTGGGGGAAGTTTGCAGCTCGGACCCGCCCCGCTCGCTCCGCCGGGACTTCCACCCCCGCCCGCGGCTCCGTCACTTTCGTTTTCACTTGTCAACTCGCACCATCATCGCCACGCGCCCCCCAGCGCCCCCCCCGCCATGGCTGCGCTGCGGGTCAGCCCCCAGGCCGAGGCCCAGGTAAGGGGAGGGTCCCTGGCTGGGGAAATGCGGGACGGGGGGGGGCAGATTTATATGGGGCCTGGTTGGGAGGACACGGAGGGGGAGTGGGGCGGGGGGGGCTGGGCTCGGAGGAGCAGGGAGGGGGGCTGCCTGGGGAATTTGGGGTGTAGATGGGGGGATCTCTGTCCTTCCCCAAGCCCGAGGGGGCAGTGCAGTGACTCTAGGGGAGAGGTTTCCATGGGGCAGTCGCTTCCCAGGCGGGGGGGGGAGGGCCCCTCCACGCCCCGTCACCAGCGCAGATGGGGCAAGGCCGGGCAGGTGGCCGGGGGGATCGGGTGTCGGGGCCTGGCGGCGTGCCCGGGGTGGGGGGGGATATGTGGGTTGGCGGGGTGCCTGGGGTGGGGACGACGCGGAGGGAGCGTCCTGCTGGGACATTTGACCTCCTCCGAAATTTCTTTCCCCCCCCAGGTGGATTCCTTCCGGACCCAGCTCTGCACCCAGGTGAGACGCTGCGAGCTTCCCCCCAGCCGTGCCCCCAGCCAGCGGGAGGGAGGGGGACAAGGGGCTGCAAGCTTCCCCCCAGCCGTGCCCCCAGCCAGCAGGAGGGAGGGGGACAAGGGGCTGCGAGCTTCCCCCCAGCCGTGCCCCCAGCCAGCAGGAGGGAGGGGGACAAGGGGCTGCGAGCTTCCCCCCAGCAGTGCCTCCCCCATACTGACCCTCTCCCCATCCGCCAGGCTGAAGCACTCGTTGGGACCCGGTTCCCCAGTAAGATGACTCAGCTGGATGCTTTCCTCAAGGTATTTGGGGGGCCGGGAGGGAGGATTAATGGGGGGGCAGAGAATGGGGTGGGAGCGGGGATGTGGGTTTGCCTGGGACATGGGTTGGGGGGATTTAAGGGGACTGTCAGGAGGCTGGAGGGGAAGGGAGCACGGAGGGACTTTAGAGGTTTTGGGGGCAGAGGGTGGGAGGCAAATTTGGGAGCAGGGGCAAAAAGGGGTTTGGGGGAATGTGGGGGCTGGAAGAGGATTGGGGGATGGGTGGGGAAAGTATGGGGGGCTGGAAACAGGATTGGTGACTCAGGAGACAAGGGTGGGGGGATCATGGGGAGCTGAGAAGGAGCATTGGGGGGGAAAGTGGGGGGCCCAAGAGAGGGGGTTGGGGCAGAGGGTGAAAGGTCACTCCAGGGGGTCCAGCTGCTCACCACCCCTCCCTGTCCCCCCAGGACCCAGCGCTGAACGTGGGGGACCTCGAGTCCCTGCGGGCCCCACTTGACATCCCCATCCCTGACCCTGCCAAGGAGAAGGCCAAAGCCGAGCGCCGCAAGGTGAGTTGGGGGGACCCCAACATTGGGGGGGACCCCAACACACCCCCTGGCGTGACAGCTGAGAATCGGGGCAGGGCTCGGGTCATGAGGGCCCCACAAACCCATGGAGCAGATCTGGGGCTGTCTCCCTCCCTGCACCACCATTTTCTCACTCGGTTCTTTTGGGGGTTCACCAGAGGGGGGAGAATTTGGGGGTGGGTCTGGGGGGTCTTTTTACCTCCATTTTCACATTTGGTTCTTCTGTGGCCAGGAGGAAATTGGGAGGGCTCTATAGCTTGGTCACCCCTCAAGGGAGGAGGGTGTTTGGGGGGGGGGGGGAGCCCCACCCAACCCCCATTTTTTCCCTGTCCTTCTCGTCCGGGGGCAGAAGGAAGAGAAGAAGGACGAGAAGAAAGACGAGAAGAAGTCGGAGGAGGAGGATAAAGGTGAGTGGAGGGCCCAGATCTTGGGGAGGCCCTCCATTGACAGGGGTTGGGCCCCTGCCCCCCATTGCTTCTGAGGGGATTGTGGGTCCAAACCCCCCCGTTTTTCTGTCTCTCCCCAGCGCCCCCCTGTGGCCCCGTGAGCAGCAACAAGACGGTTGTGGGACTGGTGAGCCGGGTGAAAGCCGAGATCCAGGGCGCCAAGGAGGAGCTGGGGCTGGTGAGTACGAGACGGAGCCAGAGCACGACCCCAGCCAGGCCCCCGTGAAACTCGCCCCCCGCACGACGCTCCCCCCCCCGTGCATGCAGCACGACCCCGGCCAGGCCCCCGTGAAACACGCCCCCCCCCGCACGCTCCCCCCCCGTGCGCGCAGCACGACCCCGGCCAGGCCCCCGTGAAACTCGCCACCCGCACGACGCTCCCCCCCCGTGCACGCAGCACGACCCCGGCCAGGCCCCCGTGAAACACGCCCCCCGCACGACGCTCCCCCCCCGTGCGCGCAGCACGACCCCGGCCAGGCCGCCGTGAAACACGCCCCCCGCACGACGCTCCCCCCCCGTGCGCGCAGCACGACCCCGGCCAGGCCCCCCGTGAAACACGCCCCCCGCACGACGCTCCCCCCCCGTGCGCGCAGCACGACCCCGGCCAGGCCCCCGTGAAACACGCCCCCCGCACGACGCTCCCCCCCCCGTGCGCGCAGCACGACCCCGGCCAGGCCCCCGTGAAACACGCCCCCCGCACGACGCTCCCCCCGTGCGCGCAGCACGACCCCGGCCAGGCCCCTGTGAAACACCCCCCCGCACGCCCCCCCGTGCGCGCAGCACGACCCCGTGAACACGCCCCCGCACGACGCCCCCCCCCGTGCGCGCAGCACGACCCCGCCAGGCCCCCGTGAAACACGCCCCCGCACGACGCTCCTCCCAGTGCGCGCAGCACGACCCCGGCCAGGCCCCCCGTGAAACACGCCCCCGCACGACGCTCCCCCCCGTGCGCGCAGCACGACCCCGGCCAGGCCCCGTGAAACACGCCCCCGCACGATGCTCCCCCCCCGTGCACGCAGCACGACCCCGGCCAGGCCCCCGTTAAACACGCCCCCGCACGACCTCGCCCCCCGTGCGTGCAGCACGACCTCGGCCAGGCCCCCCGTGAAACACGCCCCCCGCACGACGCTCGCCCCCCGTGCGCGCAGCACGACCCCGGCCAGGCCGCCGTGAAACACGCCCCCGCACGACGCTCCCCCCGTGCGCGCAGCACGACCCGGCCAGGCCCCCGTGAAACACGCCCCCGCACGACGCTCCCCCCCGTGCGCGCAGCACGACCCCGGCCAGGCCCCCGTGAAACTCGCCACCCGCACGACGCTCCCCCCCGTGCGCGCAGCACGACCCCGCCAGGCCCCCGTGAAACTCGCCCCCGCACGACGCTCCCCCCCGTGCGCCAGCACGACCCCGGCCAGGCCCCCCGTGAAACACGCCCTCCGCACGACGCTCCCCCCCGTGCGCGCAGCACGACCCCGGCCAGGCCCCCCGTGAAACACGCCCCCGCACGACGCTCCTCCCGTGCGCGCAGCACGACCCCGGCCAGGCCCCCGTGAAACACGCCCCCCCCACGACGCCCCCCCGTCGCGCAGCACGACCCCGGCCAGGCCCCCGTGAAACACGCCCCCGCACGACGCTCCCCCCCGTGCGCGCAGCACGACCCCGGCCAGGCCCCCGTGAAACACGCCCCCGCACGACGCCGCCCCCGTGCGCGCAGCACGACCCCGGCCAGGCCCCCGTGAAACACGCCCCCGCACGACGCTCCCCCCCCGTGCGCGCAGCACGACCCCCGGCCAGGCCCCCGTGAAACACGCCCCCGCATGACGCTCGCCCCCCGTGCGCGCAGCACGACCCCGGCCAGGCCCCCGTTAAACACGCCCCCCGCACGACGCTCCCCCCGTGCGCGCAGCACGACCCCGGCCAGGCCCCCCGTGAAACACGCCCCCGCACGACGCTCCCCCCCGTGCGCGCAGCACGACCCCGGCCAGGCCCCCCGTGAAACACGCCCCCCGCACGACGCTCCTCCCAGTGCGCGCAGCACAAGAGGATGCACGGCACCCCTGGGTAACACACCCAGCAGGTCCCATCCCCTCCAGCAGGGGGCAGCAGGGACAGACAGATACACACTCATGGTCTCTCTCCCCACCAGGTCACTGTCTGGGTTCAACTCCAGGTGCCCCGTATCGAAGACGGCAATAATTTTGGGGTTGCAGTCCAGGTGAGTGCCCCCCCTTCTCCAGCCTGCCCCCCTCTTTCCCCACCCACCCGGCTCATTGCCCCCCCTCTCCCCCTCCCCAGGAGAAGGTGTTTGAGCTGATGACGGCCTTGCGGACGAAGCTGGAAGGATTTCAGACCCAGATTTCTAAGTGAGTCCCAAGTTTGGGGGTCCCTTTCGCCCCCAAATCCAAGCCAGGGATGACCCCTCCTCCCCCCACACCATCCCAGGCAACTTGATTAAAAGCATGACAAAGAATCAACCAATCACCCACAAGAACCAAGAAAATTCAAGGGCAAAAGCCACTGTTAAATGCAGGGGGAATAAGAATTTGAAAAATCCAAGGGAGTTAATTGCCGAGAAACTGGATTTTTTCCCAACAACACAAGGAATTGAAATGGCAACACACTTCATTCAGTGCCACGTTTTACGCTTGCAAAACCCCCACGGAAATTAAATACCAAGCGCGTTGTCCAACGCTGAGAAATTTATTCAAAAAAGCAGGGAAATTCAATGCCAAAAATCCTCGTTAAAAGCAAACGTCATTTTCACACGAGAGGAATTAAAATGCCAAATGTTGTTGAAATGCAAGTTTTTAAGCTTGGCCCTCAAGGAGGCGACTACAAACGACCCCAAGTTTCTTCCTGGTTTTAATCGGCTGCGGAAGAGAGGAAGGTTTCTGCAAAAGTGGGGGCTGGAAAGTTTTGTTCACAGCAAAAGTTTTAGGGCCATCAGAAACCAAGGACATTTCAATGCCCAAGTCACTTCCGTCAGTGAGAAACCAATAAGCAGCGACGGGAAAAAACATTTTAATGCAAAATCTTTGTGAGATGTGGCCTGGCAAGGTGACAAAAAGGCCGTTTTGCATTTCACAAGTTGCTGCTTTTTCTTTTTCATTAACAGTTCGAACGTTTGCATTTGACGACGTTCTCAACCTTTACAGTTCGGTGGCCGTTTGCTTTGGTTTTTTGGGGAATGGAAAATTTTCCACTTAATTTTAATTTAAAAAAACCTGTTTAAAAATCAAATCTGAGTTTACCTGGCTTGTTTCTGCAGCCTTAAAGTTCTGCACTTCCAAGGGGTTTTCCATTCAATTTCTGTTTGTTTGCAAATTACAGTTGTCCATTTGAAATGTTTTCACATTGGTTTTCCCGCCTTAAATTGGCCTTTAGTTTCATCCAAAACAATTGTTTCCTCAGTCCCTTCACAGCCATTTTCTGAATTAAATGCAAGAATTTTAATTTGCAAAAGCCAAATTAAGGAAACTAAAATGCAAACAAACCAACTAGCGAAAAAGGTACGTTGACACCCACCGTACTTTCCCTTTTTTAGGCACTAACATTCCCTCATTTGGCAGGTTTATTTTTTTACTTTGAACGTTTCCCTGCATTTAATTTTTGTTTCCGAACCAGAAAACTTGCATTTCATAACATTTGTTTGCATTAAAAATTTCTTTCTGCCCCACACACATTCTGCTTCCTGCCCCCCAAGCTTAAAATATGCATTTTACATTGCAGTTGATATTTTAAGAAGGTTAGCGTTACACTTTCCCCTTTCCTTTGCAGCCTTCGTATTTTGTAATTTACAAAGGGAGTTAAAATGCATCGTGTGGGTAGATGCAAAAACCATTAAATGGAAAATCTGAAGGATGCAAAGGGGAACGGTTACTGTAAAAAACATTTGTTAGATGCAAATGTAAAGATTGTAAAAACCTTTCAGCCACAATCCTACAAACATGTATTGTACATGGGCTTAACTTTACTACTGGGTGTTAGTATCATGAGTAAGAGGCCTAAAAGTAAGCACAGGGACATGTGTTTGTGGAATTAGCAACTGAATTTGCAATTAAGAAAGTTGTAAAGAGTAAATGCAAAATTGTCCTGCCCCCCCCAAAATGGAAATTAAATGCAATAAAACATAGTTTCCACATAACATTTAAGCTTGAAAACTAGCAAAAAAAAGTTCGTTTCCAGAATGCAAAAAGCTGTCCAATGCAAACCATTTTAGTTTGCCAAAATAAAGAAATGAAAATATAAAAACACTGTGAAAAGCAGCGAAGGGGAAATTTTCCAGTGCAAACCAGCAACGGTTGCACGTCAAACTAGAATGCAAAACCAAATATAAAATGCAAAAAACCCCCAACGCTTGCCACAAGAGAGGAACGTTTAATGCCAATGAATTGTGTCCAATGCAAAATACTACGGGTTGCAAAAACAATTGAAATGCAAAATCTATCACCCGTCAAACTTTTAATCTAAAAAAACCCCTCAAGGAATCTTAAATGTGGAAAATAATTGATGCAAAATTAATGAAGGCTTTAAAAAGAGAGCAAATTAATAACAATTAATGGCATTGAGCGCAAAATATGAAAATTGCAAACATTTGAAAATGGCCTTTCATTGTCTTTTAAATTTGATTTGCGACCTTTAATATTGTTTGAATTTTTAAAAAACTCCTTTCTGATTGCAACCCAAAGTGCCAGCCGGTTTGATTTAGTCATTGCAAGCCTTACGGTTTTGCACGTACAGTTGTGTGTTACAAATCGAATTTGTGGTTAGTACAAGGAGCCATAATATTTTGCAGGGACCAGTATTTGTGCCCACTAAAATTCGTTGGTCGTTGATGTTTCCTCAAGATGAAAAATTTGGCATTTCCGATTTTAGTTTCAGTCCTGCAAAACCAAAGCGCCCACCCCCAAAGGAAATGTAACAAGCCAAATGCTGCTCAGTGCAAAATAAATGAACACAGCAAAAAGAGGGTTTGAATGCAGCTTAACTTCCTTAAATGCAGATCGTGTACTGGTTCGGGGGGGGGGGGGGGGGGGAAGGGTTGCGTTCCATTTGCTGCAATTTTGTTAAGTTGAGAGGGTGGAAAACAAGGAAATTCTCACTACCCCAAAACTTTGTCAGCGTTGCACTGTGGAGAGATTGGGCTACCCTTGGGGGAAGCCACCTCCCAGGCCCCCCCTCCCAGCAATAAGACCGCCTCCCACTTTGGGGCTTCAGCTCTGACTTCTGATATCCCCCCCCGCCTACAGGTATTTTTCCGAGAGAGGCGACGCGGTGGCTAAAGCGGCCAAAAATCCTCATGTGGTGAGTGTCTGAGACGGGTGCAGCTGCCCAGACGCCAGGGTTCTCCACTGCGTGGGAGAGGGGGTGCCCGGATGCCAGGGTTCCCCAGCAGGGGCTCTGGGACCCCAGGGCTGGTGGGGAGGAGACACTGGCCTCTCATGTCTCCGGCTCTGCCCCCCGCAGGGCGATTACCGGCAGCTGGTGCATGAATTGGACGAGGCGCAATACGCTGAGATCCGGCTGATGGTGATGGAAATCCGGAACCTCTACGTGAGTGGGGGGCTGGGGAGAATGAGGGGGGTTGGGGCCAGGGGGATTGAGGGGAATAGCTGGGAGAGTGCACTCTCAGGCTGCCCCAGCCATCTGGGGAAGGAGAGACAGCCGAGTTGGGGGGCTTCTCTGGGAGGGAGTGGGTTTGGGGTGGGGGCTGAAGGCCAACATTAAATGGACCCCAGAAGACCTGGATCCTTCAGGGTAGGGACAGAGGTGAACCCCTAATTTAGCCTCACCCCTAGAAGCCGGCAGCACCCCAATACTAGACCGACTCTCCCATCTCCTCCCACCCCCAGGCCATTCTTTATGACATCGTGGTCAAGAACTTTGAGAAGATCAAGAAGCCGCGGGGAGAAACCAAGGGCATGATCTACTGAACAACCTTTCACCTCTGGCCTCCACCAGTCACAGGGCGGGTTGGAAAGAGAGGCAAAGGCGGGACTTCCTGTCTTGCCATCTGCTGCCGATCAGAAAATTAGAGCTTTAGGGGTTTCGTGGCTGGTTTTGATTTAAAAAAAAAAGGCGCCAAAAACTTCACCTAAAAAGGAAACTGACCGGACCAAAACAAAATTGTGAAATAACTTTAAGGATGCAAAAAAAATGAAGGAAATTAAGCAGCAAAAAAATTAATAGAAGGACGAGATCTGATGGCAACAAATTCTCTGCCTCCAAGTCTGCATGAAATGCCAAAAATTCTCCTGGCCACAATGAAGAAAAGCTGTAAAACAGCCAAATGAGAGAAATTCAGTACAAGCGTCATGAAATGGAAACCATGAATGTAAAAACAAATCCCAGAAACAGAAATCCAAAACTCTGCGTTAAATGGAAGGTTTTGCCCCCAGAAATTTAGTTTTTTGGCATTTTAATTCCTTATTTTGTCCTTTTGGCAATGATTTTTGCTTTATGTTCCTTAGCATTTTAAGGAGTTGCAATAAAATAAAATGAACGAATGGAAAGAAAACGGCCCCCAAATTCTGTTGGGTCAGACATCGGTGGTGAACGGGGTGTTCTAGACAATTCCTTGGGGGATTTTATGGTCATAGTTTTCATGTCAGGAGGTTTGGGACATTGAATGGCCTTTGGTTTTTTGCTGTCCGACACCCATCGCTTGGGGGAGGAGGAGGATGCTGGGAAAACAATGGAACGATCAGGTGCTGAAAAGGAAAGATAAAAATAAAACGAAGGAAATTAAAGGCCAAAATAAAAAACTTTGTGAAATCTGCAAAAACGTAGCCAAAAACAGGACCTAAATTTAACATTGGGGGTCTGATGTGAGGCCAAGGGGGAGGAGTCTGGGCTCATTGGGGGAAGGGCCAATCTGGGGGGAGGGGAATGGGGGGAATAAATATAAAGGAATCAGTGAAAGTCAGTTGAGTCTTTACTTGGGGGTGAATTGGCATCTAGGCCAGCCAATGGGGGCGTGCCATTGTTCCAAGCAGGCCAATCAGAATACAGCCCTGGCTTCCCCAGGCCAGCCAATAGGGTCCTTCAGGCGCTGCCATTGGCGACAGACACCAGCCGGGTGATCTCGGTGTTGAGGTGCTGATTGGTCCAGTCCTGTCTGATGTCATCGAGGTGGGCGTCAAAGTCAACCAATCGGGTGTGAGCTTTAGCCTCCAGCAGGGACTTGCAAATGTGACGGGAGGATTCCCAGTCGCGCCACATGACTCTGAAAAAGACAGGAGGGGGCGAGGTGAGTCCCGGATGCCTGGGTCCCATCCCCGGTCACCCTGACGGCTGGAAGAGAGAAAGGCACCGTCCCGGACACCTGGGTCCCATCCCCAGTCACCCTAAGGGCTGGGAGCCTGTGGGGCACCGTCCCAGACACCTAGGTCCCATTCCCAGAGGATGGGTAGTGTAGGGGGCCCATGGAGGGTTTGATGGGGAACCCCACTCACCGGTTCTTGTCCTTGGGGAGCCAGTGCCGATCCTGCTGCTCCAGCACAACGACAGGGGGCACGCGGGGATTCACGGTCAGTTTCTGGTTATCCAGCTGGAGGGAGGGAGAAAGGGGGGCAGTTGGGGGCCACGCTGGGAAGCTATCCCCACACCACCCCCCAAATGTCAATCACAACCCCCCACCACCATAGGCACCCCCAGGGGTCCCTGACCACAGGCCCCACACACACACACACACCCTGCCCCCGGGGGCCCCCTCCAGCCTCCCAGACCCCCAAATCTCACCATGATCAACACAGCACCCTCAGAGAACTCAGCCAGGCGTCCAGCCATCTTCAGAGCCAGGGGGGTGGGGCTACATGGGGGGCAGGAGAGATGTCAGGGGGGAAGGGGGACCCCCTCCCTGCCCCCCTGGGGACCCCCAAAGTTACCTAATGTCGTCCAGCCCGGCATTGGCCTGGTAGTACCCAGCCACCAGCAGGTTAGAGCGGGACGCCCACAGATCAACCTGGGGAGAGGGACAGATCAAGAGGGGAGCGCGCCCCACACTAAGCTCCCCCCACCCAGCCCCAACACCCCCTGCGACCTGGTGCCCCCAGCCCCACTGCTCCACATGGAGGCCCCCTGCGCAGCCCCCTCTGCCCCACAGATCCCCCTCCACCCAGCCCCTCCTGCTCCACATGGAGGCCCCCTGCCCAGCCCCCTTTGCCCCACACGGAGCCCCCCAGCCCCGACCGCACCCTGACCCACGGCGCCCCCTGCTGCCCACCTGGTTCAGAGCCACCTCCAGCATGACGCTGAGCGCCAAGTTGCTATGGAAAAGGGGGACGCAGTCGGTGAGAAACAGACACTCGGGGGGGGCCCCCCAGTGTCCCAGGAGCAGCCCATTGACGGCGGCGTGGGGGTGCCGGGCGGCGTGGAGGCACATCTTGGCATAGGCCTGGGCAGAGACCTCCACCTCAGCCATCCTGCCAGACAGCGAAGGGTTAACACGGTCGATGCCCCTCACTCCTTCCCCACAGCCCCCTGCCCTCCCCAGCCTTGCCGGTGCCCCTCGCTCCCGACCCGCAGCCCCGTCCCCCGCCGCCCTGCCAGTGCCCCTCACTCCCACCCGCAGCCCCCTGCCCCGCCGGTGCCCCTCACTCCCGACCCGCAGCCCCGTCCCCCGCCGCCCTGCCAGTGCCCCTCACTCCCACCCGCAGCCCCCTGTCCCCCCCCGCCCCGCCGGTGCCCCTCACTCCCGACCCGCAGCCCCCTGTCCCCCCCCGCCCTGCCAGTGCCCCTCACTCCCACCCGCAGCCCCCTGTCCCCCCCGCCCCGCCGGTGCCCCTCGCTCCCACCCCCGCAGCCCCCTGTCCCCCCCCGCCCCGCCGGTGCCCCTCGCTCCCACCCCGCAGCCCCCCTGTCCCCCCCCGCCCCGCCGGTGCCCCTCGCTCCCGACCCGCAGCCCCCTATCCCCCCCCGCCCCGCCCCGTGCCCCTCGCTCCCGACCCGCAGCCCCCTATCCCCCCCGCCCCGCCGTCCCCTCCTCCCACCCCCCCCTGTCCCCCCCCGCCCCGCCGGTGCCCCTCGCTCCCGACCCGCAGCCCCCTGTCCCCCCCCGCCCCGCCCCGCCGGTGCCCCTCCTCCCCCCCCACCCCTGTCCCCCCCGCCCCGCCGGTGCCCCTCACTCCCGCCCCGCAGCCCCCTGCCCCCCCCACACGGCGCCCACCTTCCCCCAGAACTGAGGCCCCGCCCCCAGAATATTGACTGTCAGGGTCCCCCAGCTGACCCCCTCGCCCCCTGATTGGCTGGCTATCGACCAATCGCGTCTCGAGTGTGCGCTTTGGTTCTGTGGGCCCTGATTGGTCGGCGCGCGCTCCCCAGAAGGGCACGGAGCCGCTGCTCTCTTCGCCGATTGGCTGACTGCCGCCCCCATCCCGAACTTGCTCCCCTCAGGTCCTCCAGAGCCATAGAGTCGGCGCCTAGAGCAGCCCCAGGAGCCGCAGAGCGCGGCAGAGACACAGCCCTGCCCCGTGGGGGAGGGGCTGCGGGGCGTTACCCACCGTGCGCCGGGCAGCCGGGAGAAAACGGGGGGGGGCGGGGCAGTGCTCCCGGCGCAGTGGAGGGATGACGAGGCCCTACCCGTGATGCCCCGGGGCACAGATGCGACTCTAAGGAAGGGGCACGGTGCTTTACCCACAGTGCCCCGGGGGCCGAGAGCCGGGGGGGCCGTGCCCCACAGTGCCCCGGGGGCCGAGAGCCGGGGGGGGGGCCGTGCCCCACAGTGCCCCGGGGGCCGAGAGCCGGGGGGGGGCCGTGACAGTGCCGGGGGAGGCCGGGGGGCCGTGCCCCACAGTGCCCCGGGGACCGAGAGCCGGGGGGGCCGTGCCCCACAGTGCCCCGGGGGCCGAGAGCCGGGGGGGGGGCCGTGCCCCACAGTGCCCCGGGGGCCGAGAGCCGGGGGGGGGCCGTGCCCCACAGTGCCCCGGGGGCCGAGAGCCGGGGGGGGCCGTGCCCCACAGTGCCCCGGGGGCCGAGAGCCGGGGGGGGCCGTGCCCCACAGTGCCCCGGGGGCCGAGAGCCCGTGCCCCACAGTGCCCCGGGGGCCGAGAGCCGGGGGGGCCGTGCCCCACAGTGCCCCGGGGGCCGAGAGCCGGGGGGGGTGCCCCACAGTGCCCCGGGGGCCGAGAGCCGGGGGGGGGCCGTGCCCCACAGTGCCCCGGGGGCCGAGAGCCGGGGGGGGCCGTGCCCCACAGTGCCCCAGGGGCCGAGAGCCCGTGCCCCACAGTGCCCCGGGGGCCGAGAGCCGGGGGCCGGCCCCACAGTGCCCCCCCATCCCGGGGCCGAGAGCCGGGGGGGTGGGGGGCCGAGAGCCGGGGGGGGGCGTGCCCCACAGTGCCCCGGGGGCCGAGAGCCGGGGGGGGGGCCGTGCCCCACAGTGCCCCGGGGGCCGAGAGCCGGGGCGTGCCCCACAGTGCCCCGGGGGCCGAGAGCCGGGGGGGGCCGTGCCCCACAGTGCCCCGGGGGCCGAGAGCCGGGGGGGGGGCCGTGCCCCACAGTGCCCAGGGGCCAAACACCAGCACAGGAGGCAGGTTCTGGGGGAGCTGTTTATTTGCAGTCTGGTTCCAGCCCCTCCCCCGCCAGGGGGCAGGACTTGGGGGGCAGGCACCCTGGGCCCCTCAGTACATGGACGGCTTCTCCTCGCCCTTGGGGTTTGTCAGCTTCTCCAGGTTCTGGGTGAGGATGTGATACAGCTCGGCCTGGTGGGTGGGGGGGGAGACAAAAGAGAGGAGCTGGAGGGGGGCAGAGAAACTCCCCACTGAACCAAACCCCTTCCCATCGGAGCCCCCCCAGCCCTCACTGAGAGCCCCACAGAACCACACCCCCCCCAGGACCCCTCTCCATTCCCTGCCCCTCCCCAGCCCTCACTGAGACCCCCACAGAACCACACCCCCCCGGGTCCCCTCCCCCATTCCCAGCCCCCCATACTCACGTAGAAGCCCCGAATGTCCAGCACCATGGTCCGGATCTCCCCATACACTGCTTCGTCCCGCTCGTGGACCAGAGTCCGGTAATCCATCTGGGGGCAGGGGATGCTGGTTAGCCTGGCTGGGGGCACTGCTGTGGGGAAGCTCACAGCCCCGGAGCTCCCCACCACCCCCCGGCTCAGGGCACTGCTGTGGGGAAGCTCGCAGCACCTGATCACTTACCACATGGGTCTCCTTCGAAGCCTTCGCCACAGCATCTCCACGCTCAGAGAAATATCTGGGGGTGGAGAGAGAGAGAGAGAGTGGGCCCAGATCATTACCCATGGTGCCCTGGGGCACAGACACCCATGGGAAGGGCATTACCCACAGCGACCTGGGGCTGGGGCACCAGTGTGGAGCATGTAGGCATGGAAGCCAATGTAAGCAATTACCCACCATGCCCTGAGGCAGAGACATGGTTCGGGGGGTGACCCACAATGCCCTGGGGCAGAGATGAGGGAGGGCAAAACTCACTTGGAAATGGCTGTCTGGAAGCCCTCGACCTTGGTCTTGATGGCTGTCACCCGCTCCAGCACCTTCTCCTGCGGCGGGGAAGATTGGGGTGAGATTGGGGTGTCTGCAGAGGGGGGACCGGCAGAGGGGGGACTGAGAGGGCCTTACCTGAATGGCCACCCCAAAATCGTTCCCGTCCTCAATTCTGGGGATCAGGTGATGGATCCAGGTGATGACCTGGGGACAGAGAGACAGTGAGAGGGGGCCAGGGCACTAGTAAGGGGAAGCTCGCAGCCCTGGCGTTCCCCGCCCGTTGGGGGCACCATTGCAGGGAAGCTCCGAGCCCTGGAGGCACTGCTGAGGGGAAGCTCCCAGCCCTGGCATCCCCCACCCATTGTGGGCACTGCTGCGGGGGAGGGGTTGGGGGGCTCACCAAAACACATTTCTCCTTCAGCTCCCGCACCTCCGGCTTGACCCGGCCCAGCAGCGTCACCATGGCCTCGTTGCCCTTCAGGTAGCCACACTTGGGAGCTGGGGGGGGGAGAACAGGAGGTGAGTCCACACCCCAAATCCTTTCCCCCCAAATCCTGCCCCCCCAAAACCTCCCCAAAACTCACCCTCCTTCTTCTCCTCCTTATCCGTCTCCATGTTAGCCGAGTCCTGGGGGGGCGAAGGGGACAGGAAACGGGTCAGCCCCTCACCAGCGGGGTGTGGCGTGATGCGGGGGAGGGGTTACCCCAAAACTCACCTCATCCTCATCCTTGGGGGGTGGGTCGGGGATGGGGATATCCAGGGGAGCCCGGAGCGTCGAGAGATCCTTGATGTTCAACGAATCCTCCTGCAGTGACAGCAAAGTTACCTGTGGGGGGCACTCTCCCAGCAGAAGGGGGGGGCCCCAGTAGTGTGAGGGCCAACCTGGGGGGCACTGACAGTGTGAGGGGGGACCCCAGGGTGGGATGTGGGGGGATCCCACCAGGGGGCTCTGGGGGCTCAGAGGGCTGTTGGAGGGTCCCATCTCAGGGGGTACTAACAGTGCATGGGGGAGTCTGGGGGTGCACGGGGAGGGGGAGTTCTTACCTTCAGGAATTTGTCCAGTTGAAAGATTTTTTGGGGTAAAAATGTCGACAGGAATTGCTCAGCCTGGGTGGGGGGAAGAGAGAGGGGTCACAGGGGGTATTTGGGGGGCAGTTAGTCCCAGTGAGGGGCAGTTAATCATGAGGGGGGCAGATTTACCTCCTTGAAGAGAGATTCCCTGAAGAGCTCGACCTAAAAACACAGAGAGGGCAGGAAAAGGCAGCTGAGTCTGGGGTGGGTCACAGCCCCGAACACTGGGCTCAAGTCCCCTGCCGACCCCCCTCCCCCTGGCACGGCGCCCCCCTCGCTCCACAGTACCCCTGCCGGCCCCCTCCCCCTGCCCCATGGCACAGTGCCCCTGCTGGCCCCGTGCCCCACAGCCAGCTGGGCCCTTCTCCCTGCCCCTCGGCACCCCCTGCTAACCCCCCTCCCCACAGCACAGAGCCCCCTGGGGATTCACCCTCCCCACGGCAACGGCAAGTGCCCCTGCTGGCCCCATGCCCCACAGCCAGCTAGGCCCTTCTCCTTGCCCCTTGGCGCCCCCTGCCGACCCCCCTTCCCACGGCACGGCGCCCCCTGGTGACTCCCCCTGCCCCATGGCACAGTGCCCCTGCTGGCCCCGTGCCCCACAGCCAGCTAGGCCCTTCTCCTTGCCCCTCGGCGCCCCCTGCCGACCCCCCTCCCCACAGCACAGCGCCCCCCTCACCCCACAGCACCTGCGCCGGCCCCCTCCCCCTGCCCCGCGCAGCACGTGGCCGGCTCGGGGATTCCCCGGGGGAAGCGGAAGGGGGATCCCCGGGGGTGATGCACGAGTTGTGGGGTCCTGGGGGGACCGGTTTCCAGCCCTCTCCTTTGCACCCCCGATCTCACCGCCTCCCCGTTGCACCCCCGATCTCACCGCACCCCCGATCTCGCTGCACCCCGATCTCACCGCCCCCCGCTACACCCCACATCTAGGGGTCTCCACCTGCTGGCGGGACTCCCCGCTGACTTTCACAGCGCAGGCCTTGGCCATGGTCCGGGTCCGTCTGTCCCCGGGGCCCGGCTCTGACCCCTTTCGATTTCACTTCGCCCGGCCCGCCCCCCGGCCCGCCCCGGCCCGCCCCCTGCCGGCCCTGCCCCTCACTGCCAGCCTTGGGGTACCCTGAGACCCCCTGTCCCCCCCCTACCGCCCCCTGCCCCTCACTGCCAGCCTTGGGGTACCCTGAGACCCCCTGTCCCCCCTACCGCCCCCTGCCGGCCCTGACCCGCACTACCAGCCCTACTCCCTTATCCTCCACTCCCTGCCCCCTACCAGCCCTGCCGCCCTACCCCCACTCCCTGCCCCCTACCGTCCCCTGACAGCCTTGGGATCCCCCTGAGAGCCTGTTGTCACCCCACTGCGAGCCCTGCCCTCCCCTGCCGGCCTCCACCACCCTTGAGGTCCCCCTGACACCTCCCTGCCCCCACTCCGAGTCCCGGGGTCCCCACTGCCAGCCCTGTCCCCCACTCACAGACCTGCTCCCCTGCCGCGCCTGCCCCCCATTGCCAGCCCCGGGAGTCCCCACAGCCAGCTTCAGAGTCCCCCTACTTCCCCCCCGCCAACCTTGGGCCCCCCCCCAAGACCCTCACTGCCCCCACTCCCAGACCTGCCCCCTTACCGTCCCCCCCGCCAGCCTTCCGGCCCTGGGCCCCCCACTGCCCTCGCATCCTGTGCCCCCTGCCGGCCTTGAGCCCCACTGCCCCCCTCTCCCAGCCCTGGGTCCCCCGGCTACCCTCACTGCCCCAACTGCAAGACCTGCCAACCTGCCCCCCTGCCGCCCCCCTACCGGCCCGCGGGCCTCCCTGCCGCCCCCCCATCAGCTGTTTCTCTTTCTCTTCAGTCCCCAGCGCGCTGCTTCCGCGAGTTCTCGGCCGGGCCCCGCCCGCTGAAGGGTGAGAACCCCCGCGCCGGCCCCCCTGCAGCCCCCGACTCGTCTTCCGGCCCCCCGACCCACCCCAGGCTCCCCCTAGGCCGACCCCAGGCCCCTCCCGCCAGCCCCCTGCACCCCCCGCCGACCCCACTGCTTCCCCCGACCCCGTCCACGGCCCCCCTTCACCCTCCCGACCCATCCCAGGCTCACCCTGCACCCGCCTTCCCCCCCGCGACTCGCCCCAGGGCCCACCCTGCACTCCCCGCCCCCTGCACCTCCAGCAGCCGCTCGGCCCCCCCCCCCGCGCCAGGTCCGCCCCCCGGCATCCCTGGGGCTCTGGGGGACCGGGGTACAGGGCTGATGTCGTGGGGTGGGGGATCACGGTATGGGGCGGGGGGCTGGCCAGGGAAGACTGGGGTACGGGGGAGCTGGCCAATGGGATCTGGGTATGGGAGGCTGGCTCGGGATATCAGGGTACAGTGTGGGGCTGGCTGGGGGGTATTGGAGTATGGGGGAGTGCGGGTTGCGGAATCAAGGTACAGCGGTGGCTGGCTGGGGGATATCGGGGTACAGTAGGAGGCTGGCTGGGGGATATCGGGGTAAGGTGGGGGCGGGTTGGGGATATGGGTGTATGGGGGGCTGGTTGCAGGAATCGGGGTATGGGTGGGGGTGGGTTGGGGGAATCAGGGTACAGTGGAAGGCTGGCTGGGAATATGGGGGTACAGGGGATCGGTTGCAGGGATCATGATATGGCTGGGGGATATCGGGGTACGGGGGTTGGTTGCAGGGATTGGGGTACAGGGGCCAGCTGGGGGATATCGGGGTATGGGGGGTTGGTTGCAGGGATCGGGGTATGGAAGGGCTGGCCGGGGGATATCGGGGTATGGGTGAAGGCTGGCTGGGGATATGGAGGTCCGGGGGGGGCTGGTTGCAGGAAGCGGGGTACAGGGGCCGGCTGGGGGATATCGGGGTACGGGGGGTTGGTTGCAGGGATCGGGGTACAGGGGCTGGCTGGGGATATCAGGGTATGGGGGGTTGGTTGCAGGGATCGGGGTATGGAAGGGCTGGCCGGGGGATATCGGGGTATGGGTGAAGGCTGGCTGGGGATATGGAGGTCCGGGGGGGGCTGGTTGCAGGAAGCGGGGTACAGGGGCCGGCTGGGGGATATCGGGGTACGGGGGGTTGGTTGCAGGGATCGGGGTATGGAAGGGCTGGCCGGGGGATATCGGGGTATGGGTGAAGGCTGGCTGGGGATATGGAGGTCCGGGGGGGGCTGGTTGCAGGAAGCGGGGTACAGGGGCCGGCTGGGGGATATCGGGGTACGGGGGGTTGGTTGCAGGGATCGGGGTATGGAAGGGCTGGCCGGGGAATATCGGGGTATGGGTGAAGGCTGGCTGGGGATATGGAGGTCGGGGGGGGGGGCTGGTTCCAGGAAGCGGGGTATGGGGCCAGCGAGTTAACCCTTCGCTCTCCCCCAGGCCAGGTCATGGCGCAGGCACCTCCTCCCCTCGGGGAGCCCCAGTTCCTGCAGCTGCGGGAGGAGCTGGTGCGGGCCCTGGCCCAGAGCCCGGGGGACCTGCACCCCGAGACTGTCCAGCAGCTGGTTGAGGCTCCCCTGCCCCTCCACGTCAAGTACCGGGAGATCGACGCCCAGGGCATCCTCCACGCCAACATGCAGGGGCAGGTAGCGCTGGGCTGCGGGGAGGGTGTTATGGGGGGCAGATGTGTGGGGAGTCAGTGGTGGGGCTGGGGAGTGGAGGGGGTGTTGGGGGGCAGATGGAGGGCACGGAGGAGTTGGGGGGCAGGCATGGGGTGCTAGGGAGGGGAGGAGCCACTGGGGACAGATGTGGGGAGTTAGGGGGCTGGGAAGGGGAGGGGGAAGTCCTGTTGGGGGCAGGAATGAGGGGCTGGGGAGCAGGCATTGGGGGCAGATGGCAGGTGGGGGGAGTTGGGGGTAGGGCTGGGGGGCTGGGAAGGGGAGGGGGCATTGAAGGCACTGAAGAGGGTCAGCGGCAGTGGGGCTGGGAGGGGGATTGGGGTTGAAAAAGGGGGACTGGGGGAGGGGCAGAGTGGGGGTGGGGGAGGGATTGGGGGCTCTGGGTGGGAGCAGAGGGGCAGAATTGGGGATCCTGGTGGGAGGGGAGTTGGGGGGGCTGTGGAGGAAATGGGGGGCAGGGTATCTGCTCTGGGGTGCCTCTCATGCCCCCCCGTCACCCCCTAGCCCCCGGCCTGCCTGCGAACCATCTCCACAGCCCTCAACATTCTGGAGAAATACGGGCGCAACCTGCTGAATCCCCTGAAACCCCGCTTTTGGCGCGGGGTCAAGTTCAACAACCCCGTCTTCCGCAGCACAGTCGACGCCATCCAGGTGAGACCCCAGCCCCGGAACCCACCCCTAGTGCCCTCTGAATCTCCCCAGCCCCCCCCAGGGCTCGGCTCGCCCAGCCCCTGAGCCCCCCGGGCCCCATATCGCCATGTCCCTGAGCCCCCAGAACCACCCTGGCTCCTGAACCCCCCACCCCCAGATCACCCAGCTACACTGAACCCCCCAGGCCCTGAAACCCCTCGGATCACCCAGCCCCCCCGAACTGCAATACCCAACAATCTTGTCGTCTTCAGCATAGATGAAGCCAGGTGAGACCCCCCAAATCCCACATTCTGGTCTGCTGAACCGCCCAACTCCTGAACCCCACTCACTCCCTGTACCCCAGTATCCAACAACCCCGTCTTCTGCAGCACGGTCAACACCATACAAGTGAGACCCCAAGCCCCAAGTCTCCCAGCCCCACGGGTACCGACACCCTCGCCCCCCCACAAATCTCCCAGCCCCCCAGGTACTGACACCCCAACACCCCCAATCTCCCAGCCCCGAAGGTACCGACACTCCTGTCCCCCCAAATCTCCCAGCCCCCAGTTACCAACACCCTAGTTACACCCCAGCCCCCAGGTACCCACCCACCGGTCACCCCCCAGCCCCTCCATATCTCCCAGCCCCCCAGGTATCCCCCCGCCTGTCCGCCCCCAGCCGCCCCATATCTCCCAGCTTCCAGGGACTCACCCGCCGATACTAACGCGGCTCCCCGCAGGGCGGGCGGGACGTGCTCCGGCTCTATGGCTACACGGAGCAGCAGTCGGACGGGCTGAGCTTCGCCGAGGGGCTGGAGGAGCCGGACGCCCGGCGTGTGGCCTCTGTCACCGTGGACGTGGTCCTGCTGCGGGCTGAGCTCAACCTACTGCTCTCGGTAGGGGGTGCTGGGGGGCAGGGAGCGGGGTGGGGGCTGAGCAGGGAGCCATGGGGCAGGGAGCAGGGTGGGGGCTGAGCAGGGGACGCCGTGGGGCAGGGAGTGGGGGGGCTGAGCAGGGGGTGCCGTGGGGCAAGGAGTGGGGTGGGGGCTGAGTAGGGGGTGCCGTGGGGCAGGGAGTGGGGTGGGGGCTGAGCAGGGGGAGCAGGGGACACCGTGGGGCAGGGAGCGGGGTGGGGGCTGAGCAGGGGGTGCTGTGGGGTAGGGCGAGGGGGGGCAGGGCGGAGGCTGAGTCTCATTGTGGCTTTTCTATTTCAGAACAATCACCCGAACCCCGATATCCTGCAGGGAATGCTGCAGGGGGGGCAAGAGGTGAGGGGGGCAGGTGGAAGAGGGTCTGGGGGAGGCAGGGGTGGGATGGAAGGGGGTTGGGGGCTGGGGCAGGGCTGGGGGGTCGGGTGGATCGAGGGGGTCGGCTGGGCCTGTCACCCCTTCGTCTCTTCCAGGTGACCCTGATCCCGGACTCGGTGCCCATCCACGACACAGCGCCCCCCGGAGCCCTGCCCCAGACAGGTGCGTGCCACAGGGAGCTCTCGCTGTGGGGAGAGCGTGGGGGGAGCTGTGGGGCTGAGGACTGGGGGTACCGTGGGGCACGGGGGCACTGGCTGTGGAGACAGCGTGGGGGTGGTGTGAGGAGTGGGGGGCTGGGGAGTGGGGGCGCTGTGGGACACAGGGGGCTCTGCTGTGGAGGGCACTGTGGGGTCAGGAGCGGAGGAGCTGGGGGGGCACTTGGGAGAGTGCGGGGGCACTGTGGGGCAAAGGAGTGGGGGTGCTGTGAGGCAGGGCGGTGGGGACTGGGAGCGAGGGAGCACTGGCTGGAGGGCATGGGGGGCCGGGCTATGGGGTGATCCCTCTCTCCTGCCCCGCAGGGCCGGCCCCCCCGGCCACCTGCCTGCTGTGTGGGCTGGAGCCAGCATCCCTGCTCTGCCCCGAATGCAACCAGAGCCTCTGCCCCGAATGTGACCGTCTCTTCCACAAGCACCCAGCCCGGGCCCAGCACCGGCGCCTGTCCGTGGGGGAGCCAGGCTTGGGGGCCGGGCCCCCTGCACAGAGGTAACGCAGATCCCCTTGAACTACCCCACCCCCAGGTAGTGGAGGCCCCCACCCTGAGCCCCCAGGATACGGGGACCCCCTGAACCCTGTTCTGCCCCATATAATGGACCCCCTCTGTGACCCCCTGAGCCCCCCAGGACTTGGGTACCCCCTGAACCCTGTCCTACCCCCAGGCAATACATGAATTACCATTACAAATGAATTGAAAGATTTCTTTTCTCTTTAACACCCAAACTGCAAAATAAACAAATGACCGTTCAGACTGAAATCCCAGGAAATAAAACCTGAAATAAATTGAAACTAAAAATAAAAATCACATCTTTGCCCTACTACTAAGGAAAAGGCCCCCAAAGTGTTATTTCAATGAAAGCCGGACCTAAAAAAGGACATTTCAGACGCTTTCAATGTTACTAAACAAAGAAGAAAAAACAAAGAAAAACCCCCACAAGATCAGGTGAATTACAATTCAAAAAGAAACCAAGTGAAATTAAATATTAAATTGAAAATCAAAATAAAAAATGTCCATGTTTGACGAATGTTTCATAACAGCTTTGCCGTAAAGCGCCGTGTGTCCGAAGCGCACCAGACCCTCGCCCCGCGGTTAATCAAAGGGAAGTTTTCCGTCCTTGGTTTCCCTTCTTTGCTCTCTCGTGAAGAAAGACAATGGTCAAATACTCGAATGGCTGAACAGTAACCTCGGGGGAAACAACAAACGAAACACAAATTCATTGGGAAATAAAACGCCGAGTGCACGAATTCGATTCAACATTCAATACCAGAAAAGAGTCAATTGAAAATAGAAATGAAAAGTGTCCAGTTTAAAACCCAGGGTTTAATATTCATGAATAAAAGGAAGGAAAACGCCCCCGACCCCCCGAATGGGTGACTCGAACACGGGTGCCAGTTTTCCAGGCTGGGTTTTCAATTAACCGTCCAAATCCTGGGAGGCTGACGGACGTGGCACCGGGGGGACCCAGCACCGGGGGGACCACCCAGCTGCCCGCACCCCAACATGTCAAGTCCATGACAGGGACCCTGCTCGCCCGCGGAGTCCGGCTCCATTCGGACAACAGGGCCCTCGGTTCGGGGGACCCCCTGCCTGACCCCAGTCCCCCCTTCCCCAGGTATTGGGGACCCCCAGACGGTTGTGACCCCCAACCCCCCAATCTCATTTCCAGGGCTCCCGGCCCTTTAAAACCCCAGAGGATTCTGGAATGTTCCATTTGGTTGCCAGGAGAGGGCGACAGTTGCCCCAGAGCATTATGGGTCCTTGTTTGGGCTGGGCCAGGGGAGAGCAGAGGTGGGGGAGGGGAGGGGAGGGGGTGTCACAGGGGATGTTGGGGGCAGTGGGGATTGGGCGTGCAGGAATGGGGGTTCAGTGCAGATTTGGGGTGCAGGGTGAGGGTGTGGGGTGCAGCAGGGATTGGGGGTGCAGGGTGGGGACAGTGGGGGGCTGTGAGGATTGTGGTGCAGGAATGGGGGTTCAGTGCAGATTTGGGGTGCAGGGTGAGGGTGTGGGGTGCAGCAGGGATTGGGGGTGCAGGGTGGGGACAGTGGGGGGCTGGGGTTGTGGTGAGGAATGGGGGTTCAGTGAGATTTGGGGTGCAGGGTGAGGGTGTGGGGTGCGGTGGGGATTTGGGTGCAGGGTGGGGACAGTGGGGGGCTGTAAGGATTGGGGTGCAGGAATGGGGGTTCAGTGCAGATTTGGGGTGCAGGGTGAGGGTGTGGGGTGCGGTGGGGATTTGGGTGCAGGGTGGGGACAGTGGGGGGCTGTAAGGATTGGGGTGCAGGAATGGGGGTTCAGTGCAGATTTGGGGTGCAGGGTGAGGGTGTGGGGGCAGTGGGGATTTGGGGGTGCAGGGTGGGGGCAGTGGGGGGCTGTGAGGATTGGGGTACAGGAATGGGGGGCTGTGGGTTCAAGGTGGGGGCATGGGGAGATCTGTGGGGATTTGGGGGGCCCTACCCATCTCTTCCCCCCCCTTCTCTCTCCCCAGCTTGTCTATGGTGCCAGCGGAGCCCCCGGTGGCCTGCCCGGCCCTGCCCCCCAAGCCGCGCCTGCCCTGGCGCTGTGCCGCCTGCCGTGCCCCCAACGAGGCGCGGGCCGTGCTGTGCATGGGATGTGACCGGCCCCGCGGCTGCCCCACACCCCCCAACCTCCCGCCCGAGGGGAACCCCCCCCGTGGGGCCTGGGCCTGCCAGACCTGCACCTTCCTCAACCCTGGCCCCACCGTGCTATGTGCCATGTGTGAGCGCCCCCGGCTGGCCGGCCGGCCCGGTGCTCCCGACCCCCAGCTTCCCCTGGATGGCCCTCCGGTGCCCACACAGGTAAGGGGGCGGTGCCCCTCGCTCCCGACCCGCAGCCCCCGCTGGGCCTGGCCTCCCCCCCCCCCGGTGCCCCTCGCTCCCGACCCGCAGCCCCCGCTGGGCCTGGCCTCCCCCCCCCGGTGCCCCTCGCTCCCGACCCGCAGCCCCCCCCCGGTGCCCCTCGCTCCCGACCCGCAGCCCCCGCTGGCCTGGCCTCCCCCCCCGGTGCCCCTCGCTCCCGACCCGCAGCCCCCGCTGGGCCTGGCCTCCCCCCCCCGGTGCCCCTCGCTCCCGACCCGCAGCCCCCGCTCCCGACCCCAGCCCCCCTGGGCCTGGCCTCCCCCCCGGTGCCCCTCGCTCCCGACCCGCAGCCCCCGCTGGGCCTGGCCTCCCCCCCCCGGTGCCCCTCGCTCCCGACCCGCAGCCCCCGCTGGGCCTGGCCTCCCCCCCCCGGTGCCCCTCGCTCCCGACCCGCAGCCCCCGCTGGGCCTGGCCTCCCCCCGGTGCCCCTCGCTCCCGACCCACAGCCCCCCGCTGGGCCTGGCCTCCCCCACCCGGTGCCCCTCGCTCCCGACACGCAGCCCCCCACTGGGCCTGGCCTCCCCCCGGTGCCCCTCGCTCCCGACCCACAGCCCCTCGCTGGGACTGGCCTCCCCCCCGGTGCCCTCGCTCCCGACCCGCAGCCCCCGCCCTCCATTAACCACTTGCTCCCCGCAGGCAGAGGGGGCCCCGGGCTGGCAGTGTGAACACTGCACCTTCTGGAACCAGCTGCCCGGGCGGGTGTGTGAGGTTTGTAACCGGACCAGCCAGCTTGGGGGCCCCCCCCAAGAAGAGAAGGGACTACGGCGTCCGGGCAAGCCCCACTCCCTGTCACCAGAGGAGGTGGAGCGTCGGCGGCAGGAGAAGCTGCGAGAGGATGGGATGAAGCTGGTGGCCATGATCCGGGTGAGTGGCCCCACCCCCTTTCCATAGGCCCCTCCCCCTGCCCTTGAAAAAAATCTGTAGACCCTACCCTGTCCCTGAATTGCCTTGAAGCTCCTCCCCCTCTTGTGCCCATCTCCCGTGCAGGCCCCTCCCCTTCTATGCACAGACCAACCCAACTCTTCCCTTTCCATCATCGGGGGCGGAGCCAGCCGGAAACCCCTTCTGACCCCGCCCTCTCCCAGAAGAGGAGGCGGGGCTCTCTCTGACCCCGCCTTCTCCCAGAAGAGGAGGCGGGGCTCTCTCTGACCCCGCCTTCTCCCAGAAGAGGAGGCGGGGCTCTCTCTGACCCCGCCCTCTCCCAGAAGAGGAGGCGGGGCTCTCTCTGACCCCGCCTTCTCCCAGAAGAGGAGGCGGGGCTCTCTCTGACCCCGCCCTCTCCCAGAAGAGGAGGCGGGGCTCTCTCTGACCCCGCCCTCTCCCAGAAGAGGAGGCGGGGCTCTCTCTGACCCCGCCTTTTCCCAGAAGAGGAGGCGCTTCTCTGACCCCGCCTTCTCCCAGAAGAGGAGGCGGGGTTCTGACCCCGCCTTCTCCCAGAAGAGGACGGGGCTCTCTCTGACCCCGCCCTCTCCCAGAAGAGGAGGCGGTCTCTCTGACCCCCGCCTTCTCCCAGAAGAGGAGGCGGGGCTCTCTCTGACCCCGCCCTCTCCCAGAAGAGGAGGCGGGGCTCTCTCTGACTCCGCCCTCTCCCCAGGAGGCGGAGCTGGCGGGGGTGCCCCCGGAGGAAGTGGGGGCGGCGCTGCGGTACTCGGGGACGGAGCTACCCCTGCCCTGGCTGCGCTCGGAGCTGCCCGCAGTGCTGGACGCGGTGGTGGAACAGGCCACGGAGCGGGGGGCGGGTCCCGAGCTGGGCGCCATCACCCAGCAGGAGGCTCGAGCTGCCTGGACCCAGAGCCAGGGTGACCTGGACGAGGCCGTGAGCCGCTGCCTGAGCGCCCGGCGCAGCAAGGTGGGGGCGGAGCTTGGGTGGGAGGGGAGGAGCAGAACTTGGGGGGCAGGGAGGGGCTGGTAGGGGAGGAGCGGGACCTGGGGAGGTGAGGGGTGGGCCCTTGGAGGGGGAAAGGCTTCTGAGGCAGGGGAAGGGGAGGGCTTGAGGGGCGGGGCCTGGGAGCAGTGCGGCTTGTGGGGAGGGGCGGGCCCAGGGCCGTGTCCGGGGTCCCATCTCTCCCCCCTGCAGGTGCGGGAGCTGGCGGCGCTGGGGTTCGGAGAGCGGGGGCCGGTGCTGCAGGCGCTCTACCAGAACGGGGGCGACCTGGGGGGGGCCCTGAGGGAGCTGCAGCGCCGCCAGCTGGAGCCATTCCACCGGCGCATGTGGGAGCCGGCCGAGCCCGAGATCGACTTCCACGCGCCTGACCGGCAGGTCAGAGCCGGGCACGGGGGATCTGGGGGAAGTCTGGGGGTGGGAGCGAGGGGGGAACCAAGGGGCACGGGTGGGCATGGGGGCGGGGCCATGGGGGGCCATGGGGGCTGCGGGCGGGGGAAGCAGGGGACACTGGGGGGCCGTGGGGGCTGCGGGTGGGGGGGAAGCAGGGGACACTGGGGGGCCATGGGGGCTGCAGGTGGGGGGGAAGCAGAGGGCATGGGGGGGGCCATGGGGGCTGCAGGTGGGGGGGGGAAGCAGGGGCCATGGGGGGGGGCATGGGGGCTGCAGGTGGGGGGGAAGCAGGGGCCATGGGGGGGGCCATGGGGACTGCAGGTTGGGGGGAAGCAGGGGCCATGGGGTGCCATGCGGGCTGCGGGCAGGGGGGGAAGCAGGGGGCACGGGTGGGCCATGGGGGATGCAGGCGGGGGGAAGCAGGGGCCGTGGGAAGGCCATGGGGGGGCAATGGGGGATGCAGGCAGGGGGGAAGCAGGGGGCACGGGTGTGCCATGGGGGCTGCGGGCAGGGGGGAAGCAGGGGCCGTGGGGGGGCCGTGGGGGCTGCGGGCGGGAGGGAAGCAGGGGGCACGGGTGGGCCGTGGGGGCTGCGGGCAGGGGGAAGCAGGAGCCATGGGGGGCCGTGGGGGCTGCGGGCGGGGGGGAAGCAGGGGCCGTGGGGAGGCCATGGGGGGGCTATGGGGGCTGCGGGCAGGGGGTAAGCAGGGGGCACGGGTGGGCCATGGGGGCTGCGGGCAGGGGGGAAGCAGGGGCTGTGGGGGGCCGTGGGGGCCGTGGGCGGGGGGAAGCGGGGGCCGTGGGGGCCGTGGGCGGGGGGAAGCGGGGCCGTGGGGGGGCCATGGGGGGGCCATGGGGGCTGCGGGCAGGGGGGAAGCAGGGGCTGTGGGAGGCTGTGGGGGCTGTGGGGGCCGTGGGCGGGGGGAAGCGGGGGCCGTGGGGGCCGTGGGCGGGGGGAAGCGGGGGCCGTGGGGGGCCGTGGGGTGCTGACTCCCTCTCCCCCCAGGCCCTGCTGCGGCGGTTGCTGGCCTCGCTGGGGCTGCCCAGCTGGGGGCGGGCGGAGCTGGTGCTGTCGCTGGTGCGGGAGCAGGAGGCGGCGGGGGGCCGGGGGGGCGGGCGGCCTTGGCCGACATCGTGGACGCCGTGCGGGCCTCCCCCGACCGCGACTTCATCAAACGCCTGCTCAACTGGGAGTGCGCCGTGTGCGGCTGGGCCCTGCCCCGCAACCAGGTACCCCCCCGCCGGGCGCTGCACCCCCCCGCCGGGCATCGATTCCCAGCCCCTGTCTGACCTGCAGCCCCCCCAGACGAGTCCCCAGATTTGTGTCCCCTGCCGGATGCATCCCCCCCAGACATGTGTCCCCCCCCACAACTCATCTCCCCTGAGGGGCTGATTCCCGGCCCCGTCTGACCCGCGGCCCCCCCAGACGAGTCCCCAGACGCCACCCCCCCCACATCCCCCCCCCAGCCGGCCCCATCTGACCTGCGTCCCCCCCAGATGCAGTCGCTGACGTCCTGCGAATGCACCATCTGCCCCGACTGCTTCGCGCAGCATTTCACCATCGCCGTGAAGGAGAAACACATCACGGACCTGGTGTGTCCGGCCTGCGACGCGCCCGACCTGAGCGAGGAGACCGAGGTGCTGGGCTACTTCTCCACGCTGGACATCCAGGTACCGCCCCCGATCCTCCCCGGGGCCCCCCGATCCTCCCCGGGACCCCCGATCCTCCCCTGATCCTCCCTGAGCCCCCCACCCCCCCGAATCCCTGACCCGAGCTGCTGGGCTGCTTCTCCACGCTGGACATCCAGGTACCGCCCCCGATCCTCCCCGGGACCCCCCGATCCTCCCCGGGACCCCCGATCCTCCCCTGATCCTCCCCTGATCCTCCCTGATCCTCCCCTGATCCTCCCTGAGCCCCCCACCCCCCCGAATCCCTGACCCGAGCTGCTGGGCTGCTTCTCCACGCTGGACATCCAGGTACTGAGCCCCACAATCCTCCGGGGGCCCCCGAACCTCCCTGAGCCCCCCCGAATCCCTGACCCGAGCTGCTGGGCCGCTTCTCCAGGCTGGACATCCAGGTACCAGCTCCCTGGAGCGCCCTAAACCCCCAGCCCCGCCAAATCCGATGGACATGCAGGTTCCAGGGGACTCCAAAACCCACTCCCACCCCCTAGTCCCCCTGAACCCCCACAGCTGTGGCCCTCATGCCCAGGTATTGGGGTGACCCTGCACCCCAGCCACACACACCCCCTGGCGTGAGCCCCATTCCATGCCTGGGAGCCCCCCTGCACCCAGCCTGGGGGTGGGGCACCCCCAAAAGACAGGGGAGCCCCAGAAAGCCTGGCTCACCCCTCCCCCACCCCCCAGCTCCGTGAGTGCCTGGACCCCGAGACCTACGAACTGTTCAGCAAGAAGCTGACGGAGCGCGAGCTCATGCGGGACCCCAAGTTCCAGTGGTGCACCCATGTGAGTGGGCGGGGCCCCAGGGCCGGGGGCGGGGCCAAGCCAGAACGCTGCTGGGGGGCTGAGTGCCAGGGCTGGGCTGGAACTCTGGGGGTGGGGCCAGTGGACAAGGGTGGGGGCTGGGGGCACAGGGTGGGGTGGGCTTGGTGGTGGGGGGAAGAGGAGGACATATGTGGCAGGGGAGGGGCAGGATTCTGGGGGGTCTCTCGGGGGGGCTGTGGGGGTCTCTTGGTGCGCATCTGCGGGGGAGTCTCTGGGGGGAGGCTGGGGGGGGTTTCTCAGGGGATTGTGGGGGTCTCTCTGTCTCACCCCCCCCCTTCCCCCCAGTGCTCGTTCGGGTTCATCTACGAGTCGGAGCAGGCGGCCGCCCAGTGTCCCCAGTGCAACCAGAGCTTCTGCGTCCACTGCAAGCGCGCGGTGAGGGGGCTGCGGGGGGGGCGGAGCCGGGCCCGGGGGGGGACGCTGACAAGGGGCAGAAGCTCCAGTGTCGGGTAGTTCCGCAGGCTCTGGGGGGCAGGGTAGGCAGAGTGGCGGGGCATGGGCATGGAGGAGCGGGGGGGACTGTGTGGGTGGTGGGGGGGCCCTCCAAGACCACGTTGACCCCCCCACGTCTCTTCCCCCCCCCCCCCAGTGGGAGCCACAGCACCAGGGTCTGTCATGCCAGGAGTTCCAGGAGTGGAAGAGAACCAACGACCCCCAGTACCAGGCGCAGGGGCTGGCAGTGTACCTGCAGGAGAACGGGATCGGTGAGGCCCCCTGTCTCCCCCACAGCCCCCCACCCGCCCCCTGCCCCCCAGTACCAGGCCCTCCGCATCCCCCCCACAGCCCCCCAACCCGCCCCCTGCCCCCCAGTACCAGGCGCAGGGGCTGGCAGTGTACCTGCAGGAGAACGGGATCGGTGAGCCCCCTGTCCCCCGCACACACTCCAAGCCCCCCTGCTCTTTGGCTCCCTCTCCCGGTCTCCCCCCTGGGGGCTGCTGGGTTGGGGGGCGGCTCCTGCCCCCCGCTTGACCTCCCCCACCTCTCTCTCTCTCTCTCTCTCTCTCGCCAGCATGCCCCAAATGCAAGTTCCCGTACGCGCTGGCCCGGGGGGGCTGCATGCACTTCCAGTGCTCCCAGTGCCGGCACCACTTCTGCAGCGGCTGCTATGGGGCCTTTCACACCAAGAACGTGAGGGGGCGGGGGGGCTGGGTGGTGGGGGTTGGGGGGGGTGTGCAGTGGGGTTATCAGGTGGCGTGTTCTGTTGGGGGTTGTGATGGGGTGCGGGTGTTGGGTTGGTGGTTGGGTGTGGGGCTGTCGGGGGTTGTGAGGGGGACGGGGTTTGTGTTGTAGGGTTGTTGGGTGGGGTGCTGTGAGGGTGTAGGGTTTGTTGCTGGGTGTTGGGTTGGGATGGGGGGTGTGGTACAGGGTTGTGGGGCACGGGTGTTGCGTTGGTTGTTGGGTGTGGGGCTGTCGGGGGTTGTGGGGGGAAAGGGGGTTGTGTTACATTGTGGGGATGCGGGGGGATGGGGTTGTGTTGTGGTGTGGGGCTGTCGGGGGACATGGGGGGGCATGGGGGTTGTGCTGTTTAGCTGTGCGGGGCTGTCAGGGAGGCGGGGCTGTCGCGGGGGCAGAGGGTTGTGTAGCGGTGTGGGGCTGTCAGGCAGGTGGGGGGTTGTGTAGCGGGGGGGCTGTCGGGGGGCTGTGTAGCGGTGTGGGGCTGTCGGGGAGGTGGGGGGCAGGGCTGGTGGGGGGTTGTGTAGCGGTGGGGGGCTGGCGGGGGTGGGGGGCTGTCAGGGGGGAGGGGGGTTGTGCTGTTGTGTAGCTGTGTCTCCCCCCCCAGAAATGCCCGGTGCCCTCGTGCCCGGTTCGCCAGTCCTTGCACGGGCACCACCCCCGCGACTGCCTCTTCTACCTGCGCGACTGGGACGTGGGGCGGCTGCAGCACCTCCTGCAGGTCGGGGGGCGCGGGGGATCCGGGGCGGGGGGGTGGGCCCTGAGGGGTGTTGGGGGGAATCCAGGGGCAGGGGTGATGGGGGGGGGAGCTGGGGGTTGGGGGGTGACCATTGGGGGGCAACTGTGGGACTCACTCTTGACCCCCCCCCCCCCAGGATAACAGCGTTGTCTTCAACACGGAGCCCCCCACTGGGACCCGCCCGGCGCCTGGAGGTGAGAGCAGGGGATTGTGGGTAACCGGGCAATTATGGGTAACTGGGCTATGGGCCCCTGGGTAGGGGCTTGTGGGTAACCAGGTGAGATTACCCCCCCCCCCCCGGGCAGGGAGTTGTGGGTAACCAGGTGAGATCACCCCCCCCCGGGCAGGGAGTTGTGGGTAACCAGGTGAGATCACCCCCCCCCGGGCAGGGAGTTGTGGGTAACCAGGTGAGATCACCCCCCCCCGGGCAGGGAGTTGTGGGTAACCAGGTGAGATCACCCCCCCCCCGGGCAGGGAGTTGTGGGTAACCAGGTGAGATCACCCCCCCCGGGCAGGGAGTTGTGGGTAACCAGGTGAGATCACCCCCCCCCCGGGCAGGGGCTTGTGGGTAACCAGGTGAGATTACCCCCCCCCCCCCGGGGCAGGGAGTTGTGGGTAACCAGGTGAGATCACCCCCCCCGGGGCAGGGAGTTGTGGGTAACCAGGTGAGATCGCTCCCCCCCGGGCAGGGGCTTGTGGGTAATGTGATGAGATCGCCCCCCCCCGGGCAGGGGCTTGTGGGTAATGTGATCGCCCCCACCCCGGGCAGGGGCTTGTGGGTACCTTGGCAGAGTTCGGCCCCTGGGCAGGTGGTTTTGGGTAACCAGGTGGGTTCGCCCCCTCCCCCCAGGCAGGGGATTGTGGGTAGCCGGGGCGCTGGTGTTACCCATCATGCCATGCGTGCCAGGTGGGTGCCGCGTGATGGAGCAGAAGGAGACGCTGGCCGGGCTGCGGGACGAGGCCTGCGGGAAGGAGACACCCCCCGGCTACGCCGGCCTCTGCCAGTGAGTGGGGGGGGCTGTGGGGCATTCGGGTGGTCTGGAGGGCTGGAGTGGAGAGGGGTTATGTGGGAGACTGGGGGGCTTGGGAGATCGGGAGGACTAGGGATGTGGGGGCTGGTGGCTGGGGGGGACACATGGGGCAGTGGTAGGTGAGGGAGCTGGGGGTACCAGCAGGGGTGCTGGGGGATCTGGGGGAACGCGGGGGGCTGACCCCCGTCCCCGCTAGGGCGCACTACAAGGAGTTCCTTGTGAGCCTGATCAATGCCCAGGCGCTGGGGGGACGTGTGGGACGCAGAGGGATCTGGGGAGGACACGGGGGGATCTGGGGGGGAACACGGGGGCGAGCACCGGCTGACCCCTAGGGTGCACTACAAGGAGTCCCTGGTGAGCCATATACGCCCGGGCGCTGGGGGGATGCGGGGGGCGGTGGGACGGCGCTGGGGGATCTGGGGGGGGAGGCGGGGGGATCTGGGGGGGACACGGGGGGCGAGCGCCGGCTGACCTCCGTCCCCCCTAGAGCGCACTACAAGGAGTCCCTGGTGAGCCTGATCAACGCCCGGGCGCTGGAGGGACGTGTGGGGCGCTGGGGGATCTGGGGGGGAGGCAGGGGGATCTGGGGGGGACACGGGGGGCGAGCTCCGGCTGACCTCCGTCCCCCCTAGAGCGCACTACAAGGAGTACCTGGTGAGCCTGATCAACGCCCGGGCGCTGGACCCTGCCCGGCTCTACTCCCTGCCTGAGCTGGAGACCGTCTATCGGCGCCACCAGGGGGCGCTGCCCCCCCGGCCCCCCGGGGAGCCCGAGGACACCTACCACGGGCGTCTGCTGCAGGTACCAGCCCCACGGGGTGGGGGGGCCTAGGGAGCTCAGCGGGGACCCCAGGGGAAATTATGGGGGGCTGAGGTCTGGGGGGCGGGGAGGCGATACCCCTGAAGGGAGGAGCCAGGGGCACAGGCTGGGTGGCTGGGAATCTTGGGGGGCTAATGGGGTGACCCCCTCACTCCCCTCTCTGCCCCCCACAGAAGCTGATGGACGAGGTGCCCCTGGGTCCCAAGATCTTGCGGCAGCGGCAGTGACCCCCCCCGGACGGACGGGGGGCGGGGGGCTGGGCTGGAAGATTCGAGAAGATGCTGCTGTGCAGGGAGGGGAGCACTGAGGGGTGATTGGGGGGGATGATTAGATTTTTGGGGATCCCAGCACCCCAGAATCTGATTTTGGGGGTCATGTGAGAACGCCTCTATCCTGAACCCCAACCAAGACCTAAGGGACCTCAAAATAGCTACCAGTGGGGTCCCTGACTGGGGGCCCTGATCCCCCAAATTCAGGGGTTATCTGACATTGGAGTGGGGGCATCGATTTGGGAACTCTGTGCAGCTCAGAATATTGGGGTTCAAGCCCTTTGGGGTAACATGATTCACGGGATTTGGGGGTTCAGGGGACAGAACATTGGAAGACCCAATAAAACAGCCTGATCAAAGCATGCATCTCAGCTTCTTCATGCAGCAACAGGTACCCCACAAGTGCCCTGATTCAGCCCCCCAAAACTGCCCAACCTGACCAATAGCCCCCCCAAACTAACCGTACCCCCAACCCTGACTTAGCCCCCTGGAACCAGTCCTGCCCCCACTGCCAGCCAACGGCCCCCCCCCACACTGTCTAGCATCCAAGTTTCACCAGCAGCACCCCAAAACTAGATCGGCCCCCAATTCTGACCCCCACCCATTTGCAAGCCCAGCACTGCCGGTGCCCCTCACGCCCGAGCCCCTCACTACCGACCTGCTGCCCCCCCCGCCCCCCCGATACCCCAGCCCTGCCCCCCCAGCCTTGCCGGTGCCCCTCACTCCTGACCCGCCGCCCCGATACCCCAGCCCTGCCCCCCCAGCCTTGCCGGTGCCCCTCACTCCCGACCCGCCGCCCTCCCCGCCCCCCCGATACCCCAGCCCTGCCCCCCCAGCCTTGCCGGTGCCCCTCACTCCCGACCCGCCGCCCCCCCGATACCCCAGCCCTGCCCCCCCAGCCTTCCCGGTGCCCCTCACTCCCGACCCGCCGCCCCCCCCGATACCCCAGCCCTGCCCCCCAGCCTTGCCGGTGCCCCTCACTCCCGACCCGCCGCCCCCGATACCCCAGCCCTGCCCCCCAGCCTTCCCGGTGCCCCTCACTCCCGACCCGCCGCCCCCCCCCGATACCCCAGCCCTGCCCCCCAGCCTTGCCGGTGCCCCTCACTCCCGACCCGCTGCCCCCCCGCCCCCGATACCCCAGCCCTGCCCCCCCAGCCTTCCCGGTGCCCCTCACTCCCGACCCGCCGCCCCCCCCCGATACCCCAGCCCTGTCCCCCCAGCCTTGCCGGTGCCCCTCACTCCCGACCCGCCGCCCCCCCGATACCCCAGCCCTGCCCCCCCAGCCTTCCCGGTGCCCCCTCACTCCCGACCCGCCGCCCCCCCCCCCCCGATACCCCAGCCCTGCCCCCCCAGCCTTGCCGGTGCCCCTCACTCCCGACCCGCCGCCCTCCCCCCCCCCGATACCCCAGCCCTGCCCCCCAGCCTTGCCGGTGCCCCTCACTCCCGACCCGCCGCCCCCCCCCGATACCCCAGCCCTGTCCCCCCAGCCTTGCCGGTGCCCCCTCACTCCCGACCCGCCGCCCCCCCCCCGATACCCCAGCCCTGCCCCCCCAGCCTTGCCGGTGCCCCTCACTCCCGACCCGCCGCCCCCCCATCCTTGCCACCCCGATACCCCAGCCCTGCCCCCCCGCCCTGCCGGTGCCCCTCACTCCCGACCCACAGCCCCACAGCCGAGCGCTGCCCCCCCCCCCCCCGTGTGTGCCCGGGCGACCCCTGGCGGCTGCTGAGCCTTCGGGGCCACGTGATTTCTGGGAAAAGGAGCGAAGCGGCGGAGAAACGCGCAGGGGCCGGGGCGGGGGGCGGAGACGGGTGGACGGACCGAGCGGCCCCGGGACAGACGGCGCCGCGCAGGGCTGGGTAGGTGACCTCGGTCCGGGGGTGCGGGGCAGGTCAGACCCGGAGACTCCCCGCGACAGCGTGGGGGTGAATGGGGGAGAATGTGGGTGAATTGGGGTGGGAATCGGGGGTGAATTGGGGGAGAATGGGGTGGGAATCGGGGGTGAATCAGGTTGGGAATCGGGGGGTGAATTGGGGGGAGAATGGGGGTGAATCGGGGGTGGGAATTGGGAATCGGGGGGTGAATTGGGAGAATGGGGGTGGGAATTGGGAATCGGGGGTGAATTGGGGGGAATCGGGGGGTGAATTGGGGGAGAATGGGTGTGAATTGGGGTGGGAATCGGGGGTGAATCAGGTTGGGAATCGGGGGGGTGAATTGGGGGGAGAATGGGGGTGAATTGGGGTTGGGAATTAGGAATCGGGGGGTGAATTGGGGGCGAATCGGGGGTGAATTGGGGTGGGAATCAGGGGAGAATGGGGGTGAATCAGAGTGAAATGGGGTGAGAATTGGGGGAGAATGGGGGTGAATCAGGGGGAGAATCGGGGGTGAATCGGGGGGAGAATGGGGGTGAACTGGGAGATAATCAGGCTAAATTGGGGTGAACTGAAAACTGAATTGGGTGACCCTGGGGGGCCCTGGGAGCAAAGGGGGTTCAATTGCTCAGGTGCCCTGGGATGTCGTGTGGGGTGTGAGGGGGTGTACACTCCGGGGTAGGAGCTTTGGTGGTGACGGGGGTTGGAGTGAGCGGAAATTGGGGTCCCCTGAAAACTGGGGAAAGGTCTTGGGAGTTTTGGGGTTGTCCATGGGAGATGAAAGTGGAGGGGTGCATTAGGGGAGGGGAAGCCCTTGGGGGGAACAAGCCCCCAGTAGGGCTTAAAGTTGGGGGGCTGACGGGGGATGTTGGAGGAATTTACCCTGGGGGGGGTGACTCAGGCAGGGGACTGATCACTGGGGTGTTGGGGTCCCTGACCCATGGGGGGGGCACCACTGCCTGGGGTGGGGGGCCCATCCGGTGCCCCGGCCCAGCCCTGATGGTGGGGAGGCTCCGTGGCGGGTATGGGGGTTACTCACCCCCCCCGCCCCCCAGGATGGCGTCGGGCCGGGCCCGCTCCACGCGGAAGCTGCGCCAGTGGACCGTGGAGCAGGTGGAGAGCGGGCGGTTCCCGGGGCTGGTCTGGGACGACCCCCCCACCAAGACCATGTTCCGCATCCCCTGGAAACACGCCGGCAAGCAGGACTTCCGCCACGACGAGGACGCGGCCTTCTTCAAGGTACACGCCACGGACACGCTACGGACACGCTGAGCAGCCACTAGCAACATGCTAAGCACACGCTAAAGCTATCCTAGCAACATGACACCCCCCCAGGATACACTAGCAAAATGCTAAGGATACAATCGCGACACGCAATGCACATGCTAAAGACATAGCAAATACCAGCTAAGGCTTTGCTAAAACACAGCACGGCCACCTGAAGCACATGCTAACCACATGCAAAGAACATACTCAGCACATGCCAGCCATCGACTAAGGAGACCGTGTGTGCCCGCTAAGGCCACAGACGGGATCGTGCTAAAGACACAGGATGGGGACACGGGGGATGGGACATGCTAAGGGCCCGGGGGAGGGGCACACGCCAAGGGGCCAAGCCCACGCTAACCCTCCCGCTCCTCCGCAGGCCTGGGCGGCGTACAAGGGCAAGTACCGGCCGGGCGAGCGGCTGGACCCGGCGGCCTGGAAGACCCGCCTGCGTTGTGCCCTCAACAAGAGCCCCGAGTTCGAGGAGGTGCCCACGCGCTCCCAGCTGGACGTCGCCGAGCCCTATAAGGTGTACCGCCTGGTGCCGCCCGCTGAGCAGCGCCCCGGTGAGCAGGGACCCCGGCATCCGGGCGACCCCCCCCGGTGTCACAGCCCTCCCGGGCACCCCGGGCATGGGACCCTGGTGTCCGGGCAGCCCCCACAGGATGTCGCAGCCCTCCCGGGCACCCCAGCCCCTGGCACGGGACCCCGGCGTCCGGGCAGCCCCCACAGGGTGTCACAGTCCTCCCGGGCACCCCAGCCCCTGGCACGGGACCCCGGCGTCCGGGCGGCCCCCACAGGGTGTCGTAGCCCTCCCGGGCACCCCAGCCCCTGGCACGGGACCCTGGCATCCGGGCAGCCCCCACACAGTGTCACAGCCTTCCCGGGCACCCCAGCCCCTGGTACGGGACCCCGGTGTTCGGGCGGCCCCCACATGGTGTCACATCCCGGGCACCCCCATTCCTTGTCATGGGACCCTGGTGTCCGGGCGGCCCCCACACGGTGTCGCAGCACTCCTGGGCACGCCAGTGTCCGGACAGCCCTCCTCCCCTGTCACGGCTCTCCAGGGACCCCGGCATCCCTGTTTCCCCGGTTTAAGGCCCCCTCTCATCCCTCCCCAGCTAAGCTGCCAGCCCGGAGGGTCCCCCGGCAGGTGAAAAAGGAGCACCCCGAATCCCCCTCGGAGGGGGACGAGGTGGGGAGCACCGGGGGGGCTGCCCAGGCCCCCCTCAGCCTGGATATAGTCAGCATGGTGAGTGTGGGGGCTGGGGGGGCCGGGAGGTGTCTCAGGGGGCTGGGGGGGAGCGGGAGGTGTCTCCAGGAGGCTGGCCCCCCATCTCATCCTCTGCCCCCCCAGGAGGTGATGTCGGGGTCAGAGCCCGTGGCCGGGGCCTCGCACAGTTCAGATGATTCCGGCATCGACACCAGCGAGCACAGCCCTGACGCCGGGGTCCCATGTAAGAGCTGCGGGGGTCAGGGCAGGCGGTCAGTCCGGGGTTGGGGGCAGAGCAGGGGGTCAGTGGAGGGTTGGGGGTCAGGGTGGACAGTCTGGCGTGTTGCGGTCAGGACAGGGGGATCAGTGGGGGGTGTTGGGGGAGGGACGGGGGGTGAGCGGGGAGTCGGGGTTCAGGGCGGGGGGGTCAGTGGGGGTGTTGGGGGGAGGGACGGGGGTGAGCGGGGAGTCGGGGTTCAGGGAGGGGGGGTCAGTGGGGGTGTTCGGGGAGGGACGGGGGTGAATGGGGAGCTGGGGTTCAGGGCAGGGGGGGTCAGTGGGGGTGTTGGGGGAGGGACGGGGGTGAGCGGGGAGTCGGGGTTCAGGGTGGGGGGGTCAGTGGGGGTGTTGGGGGAGAGACGGGGGGTGAGTGGGGAGCTGGGGTTCAGGGCGGGGGGCATCTGTCCGGGACTCAGGCCCTGTTTCTCCCACAGCCCCAGATCTGAACGAGATCGTAATTAACGTCACACTGGACTCGGGGGCCATTCTGCCCCCTATGGATGGTAAGACCAGCCCCCCCCGCCCCACACACCCCACAGCCCCCCACCCTGCCACCCCAGAACCCCGTCCCCCACCTCATACCCCATACCTCCCCCACAACCTCTCCTCCCCACCTCCTCCCTGTCCCACATACCTCACAGCCCCTCACCCTGCCACCCCATCACCCTGTCCCCCACCTCATATCTCTCCCACAACCCATCCTCCCCACCTTCTCCCTGCCCCACATATCCCACAGCACCCCATCCTGCCATCCCATAACCACATCCCCCACCTCATACCCCATACCTCCCCCACAACCCCTCCTCCCCACCTCCTCCCTGCCCCACAGCCCCCCACCCTGCCACCCGAGAACCCCGTCCCCCAACTCATACCCCCATACCTCCCCCACAACCCCTCCTCCCCACCTCCTCCCTGCCCCACAGCCCCCCACCCTGCCACCCCAGAACCACATCCCCCACCTCATACCCCATACCTCCCCCACAACCCCTCCTCCCCACCTCCTCCCTGTCCCACATACCTCACAGCCCCTCACCCTCCACCCCATCACCCTGTCCCCCACCTCATATCTCTCCCACAACCCATCCTCCCCACCTTCTCCCTGCCCCACATATCCCACAGCACCCCACCCTGCCATCCCATAACCACATCCCCCACCTCATACCCCATACCTCCCCCCACAACCCCCTCCTCCCCACCTCCTCCCTGCCCCACAGCCCCCCACCCTGCCACCCGAGAACCCCGTCCCCCAACTCATACCCCATACCTCCCCCACAACCCCTCCTCCCCACCTCCTCCCTGCCCCACAGCCCCCCACCCTGCCACCCGAGAACCCCGTCCCCCAACTCATACCCCATACCTCCCCCACAACTCCTCCTCCCCACCTCCTCCCTGCCCCACAGCCCCCCACCCTGCCATCCCATAACCACATCCCCCCACCTCATACCCCATACCTCCCCCACAACCCCCTCCTCCCCACCTCCTCCCTGCCCCACAGCCCCCCACCCCTGCCACCCCAGAACCCCGTCCCCCACCTCATACCCCATACCGCCCCCACAACCTCTCCTCCCCACCTCCTCCCTGTCCCACATACCTCACAGCCCCTCACCCTGCCACCCCATCACCCTGTCCCCCACCTCATCTCTCCCACAACCCATCCTCCCCACCTTCTCCCTGCCCCACATATCCCACAGCACCCCACCCTGCCATCCCATAACCACATCCCCCACCTCATACCCCATACCTCCCCCACAACCCCTCCTCCCCACCTCCTCCCTGCCCCACAGCCCCCCACCCTGCCACCCGAGAACCCCGTCCCCCAACTCATACCCCATACCTCCCCCACAACCCCTCCTCCCCACCTCCTCCCTGCCCCACAGCCCCCCACCCCTGCCACCCGAGAACCCCGTCCCCCAACTCATACCCCATACCTCCCCCACAACTCCTCCTCCCCACCTCCTCCCTGCCCCACAGCCCCCCACCCTGCCATCCCATAACCACATCCCCCACCTCATACCCCATACCTCCCCCACAACCCCTCCTCCCCACCTCCTCCCTGCCCCACAGCCCCCCACCCTGCCACCCCAGAACCCCCGTCCCCCCACCTCATACCCCATACCGCCCCCACAACCTCTCCTCACCACCTCCTCCCTGTCCCACATACCTCACAGCCCCTCACCCTGCCACCCCATCACCCTGTCCCCCACCTCATATCTCTCCCACAACCCATCCTCCCCCACCTTCTCCCTGCCCCACATATCCCACAGCACCCCACCCTGCCATCCCATAACCACATCCCCCACCTCATACCCCATACCTCCCCCCACAACCCCTCCTCCCCACCTCCTCCCTGCCCCACAGCCCCCCACCCTGCCACCCGAGAACCCCGTCCCCCAACTCATACCCCATACCTCCCCCCACAACCCCTCCTCCCCACCTCCTCCCTGCCCCACAGCCCCCCACCCTGCCACCCGAGAACCCCGTCCCCCAACTCATACCCCATACCTCCCCCACAACTCCTCCTCCCCACCTCCTCCCTGCCCCACAGCCCCCCACCCTGCCATCCCATAACCACATCCCCCACCTCATACCCCATACCTCCCCCACAACCCCTCCACCCCCCCACCTCCTCCCTGCCCCACAGCCCCCCACCCTGCCACCCCAGAACCCCGTCCCCCACCTCATACCCCATACCGCCCCCACAACCTCTCCTCCCCACCTCCTCCCTGTCCCACATACCTCACAGCCCCTCACCCTGCCACCCCATCACCCTGTCCCCCACCTCATATCTCTCCCACAACCCATCCTCCCCACCTTCTCCCTGCCCCACATATCCCACAGCACCCCACCCTGCCATCCCATAACCACATCCCCCACCTCATACCCCATACCTCCCCCACAACCCCTCCTCCCCACCTCCTCCCTGCCCCACAGCCCCCCACCCTGCCACCCGAGAACCCCGTCCCCCAACTCATACCCCATACCTCCCCCACAACCCCTCCTCCCCACCTCCTCCCTGCCCCACAGCCCCCCACCCTGCCACCCGAGAACCCCGTCCCCCAACTCATACCCCATACCTCCCCCACAACTCCTCCTCCCCACCTCCTCCCTGCCCCACAGCCCCCCACCCTGCCATCCCATAACCACATCCCCCACCTCATACCCCATACCTCCCCCCACAACCCCTCCTCCCCACCTCCTCCCTGCCCCACAGCCCCCCACCCTGCCACCCCAGAACCCCGTCCCCCACCTCATACCCCATACCGCCCCCCACAACCTCTCCTCCCCACCTCCTCCCTGTCCCACATACCTCACAGCCCCTCACCCTGCCACCCCATCACCCTGTCCCCCACCTCATATCTCTCCCACAACCCATCCTCCCCACCTTCTCCCTGCCCCACATATCCCACAGCACCCCATCCTGCCATCCCATAACCACATCCCCCACCTCATACCCCATACCTCCCCCACAACCCCTCCTCCCCACCTCCTCCCTGCCCCACAGCCCCCCACCCTGCCACCCGAGAACCCCCGTCCCCCAACTCATACCCCCATACCTCCCCCACAACCCCTCCTCCCCACCTCCTCCCTGCCCCACAGCCCCCCACCCTGCCACCCGAGAACCCCCGTCCCCCAACTCATACCCCATACCTCCCCCACAACTCCTCCTCCCCACCTCCTCCCTGCCCCACAGCCCCCCACCCTGCCATCCCATAACCACATCCCCCACCTCATACCCCATACCTCCCCCACAACCCCTCCTCCCCACCTCCTCCCTGCCCCACAGCCCCCCACCCTGCCACCCCAGAACCCCCGTCCCCCACCTCATACCCCATACCGCCCCCCACAACCTCTCCTCCCCACCTCCTCCCTGTCCCACATACCTCACAGCCCCTCACCCTGCCACCCCATCACCCTGTCCCCCACCTCATATCTCTCCCACAACCCATCCTCCCCACCTTCTCCCTGCCCCACATATCCCACAGCACCCCACCCTGCCATCCCATAACCACATCCCCCACCTCATACCCCAAACCTCCCCCACAACCCCTCCTCCCCACCTCCTCCCTGCCCCACAGCCCCCCACCCTGCCACCCGAGAACCCCCGTCCCCCAACTCATACCCCATACCTCCCCCCACAACCCCTCCTCCCCACCTCCTCCCTGCCCCACAGCCCCCCCACCCTGCCACCCGAGAACCCCGTCCCCCAACTCATACCCCATACCTCCCCCACAACTCCTCCTCCCCACCTCCTCCCTGCCCCACAGCCCCCCACCCTGCCATCCCATAACCACATCCCCCACCTCATACCCCATACCTCCCCCACAACCCCTCCTCCCCACCTCCTCCCTGCCCCACAGCCCCCCCACCCTGCCACCCCAGAACCCCGTCCCCCACCTCATACCCCATACCGCCCCCACAACCTCTCCTCCCCACCTCCTCCCTGTCCCACATACCTCACAGCCCCTCACCCTGCCACCCCATCACCCTGTCCCCCACCTCATACCCCATACCTCCCCCACAACCCCTCTTCCCCAACTCACACCTCCCCATCCTCCTTCCACCACCCCACAGCCCCCATAGTCTCTCTGCCCTATATGTCCCATAACCCCCTTCTTCTGCCCCAAACCCGCATACCCTCTGCCCCATCCACCTCATAATTCCCTCCTCTGCCCCACACCTCCCATGCCCCTTGTGCCACTCATCCCATAACCCCCTTCCTCTGCCCCACGCCTCCCATGCCCCTTGTGCCACTCATCCCGTAACCCCCTTCCTCTGCCCCACACCTCCCATAACCCCGATCTCTCTCTCTCTCCCTCCCCCAGACTACTCAGTGCTGCTGTCCCTGTGGTACAGCGGGGAGTTGGTGTGGCAGCAGCGGCTGCCCCAGGGCGATTTCCTGGTGACCCCCACGCCGGCGCCCACGCCCCATGCCCCCAGCTTTATGCAGCGGGTGCTGCTGCCCCCCGCCGAGGGGGTGCGGGACCCCCCCAAGCGCCAGGCCACGCAGGAGCTGCTGGGGGCACTGGCCAAGGGGGTGATGGTGGCCAGTTCCCCCCAGGGGCTCTTCATCGGGCGCCGCTGCCGGGGCCGGGTGTACTGGAGGGGCTCCGGGGCGCCCCCCGCCGCGCCCAGCAAACTGGAGAGAGATGACGTCATGCAGGTCTTCAGTGGGGCAGCCTTCCGCCAAGGTGAGCCCTGAACTCCATAGCCCCGCTGGGACCCCCAGTATCGCCCGCTCGGATCTCCCAACCCCCATATCCCTGCTCAGACCCCGAATTTTCCCGCTCGGATCTCCCAACCTCCATATCCCCGCTGGGACCCCGAATTTCCCAGCTTGGATCCCCAGTATGCCCAACTCAGGCACCCCAACCCCCATTTCCCTGCTCAGACCCCGAATTTTCCCGCTCGGACCCTTGACTCCCATATCCCCACTCGGACCCCTGAGCCCCATATACCCTCTCAGACCCTTGACCCCCATCTCCCTGCTTGGACTCCAAATTTCCCCACTTGGACCCCCATCCCCCCACTTGGACCCTGAATTCCCCCCGCCCCCCGACTCCCATATCCCCGCTCAGATCCCGAGACAAAGAGAAGGAGGAGGAGCAACGGGAGTGTCTGAGTCGGGTGGCTGGAAGCTGGGCAATCTGCTTGGGGGGGCTGGAAGTGGGGGAGTCCATGCTGCCTGGCCCAGGACTCCCCAAGATGGACTTGGCTGAAAGTCACTGATTTCTGTGCTAACGAGGTCTGTTCTATGCGTGCTCCTGTCGACTAATAAACCTTCTGTGTTACTGCCCCCGTCACTTACCGGATGCTCTGTCCACGGGGTGCAGTTTATCCCACCGCTGCCACCAGTTGTCACAGTCACTGGGGCAATGCTCTGGAACTGCTCCCTATGAAGCCAGGCAGGACTCCGGGGGAGCCTCCTCCCTGGGAGCAGCCTGTCTCCAGGGCAAGAGGCTCACCCAGCTTCCACCTTCGTGGGTCTGACTCGGAGCATTCAGCCTCCCCTGCCCCACCGTGCGCTTCTCACAGCAAGTCCGCCCAGGCGGGGTCCTGGGGAAGCCAGGAGGTCCTGCCCCCCAACTCCACAGTCAGACGGGACTCTCAACCAGCGTAAAACAGAAGGTTTATTAGTTGTCAGGAACACGCATAGAACAGACCTCGTTAGCACAGAAATCAGTGACTTTCAGCCAAGTCCATCTTGGGGAGTCCTGGGCCAGGCAGCATGGACTCCCCCTCTTCCAGCCCCCCCAAGCAGATTGCCCAGCTTCCAGCCACCCGACTCAGACACCCCCATTGTTCCTCCTCCTTCTCTTTGTCTCCCTGCCCGGGCCAAGAGTTGCACCTGGTCATCACCTGGTTGCATCCTGCTCCTGGGTCTCAGGCTCCGAAGGGCACCGGTCATAGCATACGGGCAGGCAGCTGGAGCAGCCTCACCTGCCACAGAGGTCTCAGCCAAATTCCCACCACCAAGGTATTGGTGCAGCACGCAGGGAAACTGAGGCACACATAGTATTCATGCAAAACAGTGAAACTCACATCAGCTCAACAGTAAGACTCACATACAACATAACAAGGGAAAGACCCCCATGGCCCACTCTGACCCTCCATCCCCCCATAATGACCCCCAAGCCCCCCTGCTGTGACCCCCATGGCCCACTCTGACCCCACATCCCTTCATAGTGACTCCCAAGCCCCCCTGCTGTGACCCCCTGCGTCCTGATCCACCTCCGGTCTGACCCCTGAATCTCCCCCACTGGGACCCCCAATTCCCCATCCCCTTATAGCGACCCTTAGTCCGCACACTGCAGCCCCACAGCGACCCCCACAACCCCCTGCTGTGACCTCTGAATCGCACCCTTGTGCTCCCCGAACCCCCAGAGTGCCCCCTTCCCTTGCTGTGACCCCCAATAGCCCTCAGTGTCCCCAAATCTCCTCTGTGGTGCCTCTGAGTCCCCCCCTGCCTCGCCCAGAGCCAGGCCCCCACTAACCCTGCCTCCCCGGCACTGTCCCCACAGCGCTGCAGCTGTACCGGCAGGGCCTGGGCCCCCAGCCAGAGCCCCACGTCACCCTATGCCTGGGCGAGGAGCTAGGGCAGCAGGACGGCCCCGCTGACAAGCTCATCATCATCCAGGTGGGCAGCGGTGCATTGTAGGGTGGCAGTGAGGGGGCAAAGTCCATTGTGGGATGGGGGTGGTGAATTATGGGATGGTGAGGGTATGGGGTGGCAGTGGTGCATTGTGGGATGATGTGTGGGAGCAGTAGTCTATTGTGGGAGGGTGCAGGGGGAGCTGAGGTGCATTGTGGGATGGTGGGGGGCAGCCATGCCCTGACGCTCTCCCTGCCCCCTACAGATGGAGCAAGCCTTCGCCCGGAAGTTGCTGGACATGCCCGAGGTGGAGATGGCGTCCGTCTGCCTCCTCTCCCTGGAGTCCTCCTGTCTCTACAGCCCAATGTGAGGGGACCCAAGATGCTCCAGACCCTGCCACTGCCTCGACTTAGGGGGCCAGGGGTGGGACTTCCTGTCTTGTCCCATGTGGGACAGGTACTTTCTGGACTTAGAAGTCATGCCCCCCAACAGGCTTCCTATTTTGTCCGTTATATGGGGAGGGATTTCCTGGCTTGTGGAACATGATGGGGCAGGATATCGAGTCTCACCTGTTTTGTTGAGGTGGGACTTCCTCTTTTTGCTCACTGTCCGGGGGAGGGACTTCCTGGGGTTGGAGACCACACTCGAACACACTTCCTGACTTGGTGCATTCTCAGGGAAGCAATTCCTGGAGGTCTGGAACCTGTTGGAGGCTGGCCTTCCTGTCATGTGCATTGTGTAAGGATGGGACTTCCTGTCTTGCCTCTTGTGTAGAGCTGGGAGGAACCACCAGGGATTTGGATTGTGTAAGGGTGGGACTTTCTGGTTTGACCAGTGGGTAGTAGGTGGGACATCCTGTTCTGCAAGTTGATCAGGAGGGAGCTCCTGGCATTTTGAATGTGTAGCGGTAGGACTTCCTATTGTACAGAGGCGGGACATCCTGTCTTGGTAGTGCCGAATGCACAATGCGGTCGCGCCAAAATGTCCTGTGGTGAATGTTGTAGAGGCAGGACTTCCTAGTTTTACGTCCCTCTCTCCATGGAAGAAGGAAGCTTCTTCTCCAGTTTGTAGAAACTTTTACATGCCAAAGGCCCTCCTGACCTCCGGCAAGATTGTGTCTGCCCCCCGCCCCTTGCAGCCATAGCTAGGACCTTAAGCTCAGGTCCCTTTGCACTTTATCCCTAACTGCAAGAAACTTTATGAATCATGTCTGTGTTTTTAAATAAAGTTTTATTTGACTTAGCTGCCAGAAACTGTCTGGTTTATATACTGTCACGAAGTCCCCGGGCCATGCTCTGGAATTACTCCCTACAAAGCCAGGCAGGACTCAGGCAGGACTGTCTCCAGGGCAAGAAGCTTCCCCAGCTTCCACCTTCCTTGGTCTGACCTCGGAGCATTCAGCATCCTCTGCCCCTCC